AGTAGTCAACATCTATTTCCCCCACACGGCTCAGACCAACAGTCAGAGACTTCATCGACTGTTGCCACCTCTTGGTTTGGTGTAGGTGGTGGTATTTGTTCAAGCGAAAGAAATACCACCACCTACACCTATTGTATACTGACTGAGAAACGTTTTAGTGCAATTATCTGTCATTTTACCGAGTATAAATACGACTGTATAGCTTGATAATGAAGTCGTTGAAAAGAAATATTTCTTCTTCGTCGATAAATCTCTTGTTCTAATCCTGGAGTAGCTAATGAAAAACCGTGAAATATAATGAGCCCACTTTATTCTGCAAATATCTTTGTTCTTGCCCTGCTCAAACATATGGTAGATGATACGTAGCGACGAAAAGCAGCCAATAGGGGAGTTGTTTTCAAGTCATGATCAAATCATGTTCAGGTCCTGATTTATGCATGCGCTGGCATGAGAAACTGATTGGAGAAGTTCGACCTCATACAAGAGATCGGATTGGTTCATTTATGGCTTCACTTTCTGAGAGTTTTGTAAATACATATATGTCATGTATTTGCCTAATAAGAGTTATCGCTGTTCTTGCAGTCACAGGCCTTCTTTGGCTTCTGATTTTCCCGCGGCCCAGTGAAGCAGAAGGTACTGAGGGAGGTCAGTCATAAAGGTATTCGGTTGAGGTGTCTATTGAGTCTCAGTATTCATTATACCCACGGGTGCAACCCCACCACTCGGTCACAACAGTAGAGTTGTTCACGTGCTAGGTAATGCACATAAACGAAACTGACTTAGGACAAAATGTATGCGATTCCATCGGATGATATAAATCACTCTGGACGAGTATTTTGACCTGCTTAGCGAACTTTGCTGATTAGTGGAATCGAGTTATCTGTTAAGTCATAAGATTGACACATGTATCATATAGAGATAAAGAAAATTAACAGAATAGTGATTTCACTAACCTTCTTTAAGTCAACACGAAGTTTTCAGGATATATATTAGCCCTAAAATGAATCTCCAGGATAGTCTATAGTCGAAGGATCACTGCATAGTCATGCCATATTTTCACGAACAACAATTTGTCTTTTAGAGACCTTTAACGCTTCAACAAAATCTACAAAGACAACCTATTCTACTCTGTGAACTAATCATTCCATTTTGATAATAGAAAAGTCCTCTGTGACTACTTTTCATTAATAACATATGAAATTTCTGAGGGAGTTATGGAGATTTGGAAATATTTCAAGTTGTTATTCATCGAAGACTGACATCAGTTGTGCCTCCAACTGATGTCAGTCTTCGATGAATAACAACTTGAAATCTGAAATTTCTGTTTGATTATTGAAAAATAGGCATATAGTTCTAGTTTAATATTATACAAAAGACATAAGGCATAAACATCAGTCTCAAACATTCACCTATCATCCATCATAATCTCGAAAAACGGAACTTTGAAAATGCAGTTAGGTATCTTTTGTTAACTACCCGAACTAATGTTACATATTTTTCACTTGTAACTGAAATCATTAGAAACATGAGTCTCTTTTTCAACACAGACGTGTGAATGACCTAATTTCTAAGCTATAATCACCTAAAATGCATATCACGATTTTCACAAAACCCTTCAATTATTCAAAACCAGTTACGCAACTTAACAGTAATAATAATAACTCACTTTGTGAAAACTTGATGTAAGCATTTAAATCATCTAGCTTACAATAACTATATATATAATAAACAAAATCTTACAAACTATCTCAGTTATGATGTAGTGAGACAAACAGTACTGTTACATGACGAAGTGAAATGTACCACCTTATTTAATAATACTTTCGGTTGGTTGATAAATGATTCGTTTAAATATGTTAGTTTAGTGTAACAAACAACAGTCAGGATAAATCACGCAAATGTTCATACAGTCAAGCTGATAAATTCTGTGTCTCAAAACACGCGACGCTGTGCATCCACGAATTCTTGACCAACACTTTAAATATTAGTCTCCATTTCATAAAAATATCATTCCATTATGATTACAATATAGGGTGATATTTCTCAATGCTACCTATACTACTGCCGTTATTGTGTCAGAGACAGCGTCTAAATGCCTCAGGCCATCTCTGGATGAATCCAAGTGGCTCAATTTGACATCTGAAATTAGCAATCCTAGCAGAATGCATAGCACCATTAGGAATAATAAACCAGGTTATCCCATCATACCGATAGTTGATTTCAGAGTCACACCAAAATATGGACTAACTAATTACTTGGTCAAAATATTATGTCCTATTAAAAATTCTTCAAAGTCTATGGTAACGGATTCCTTTGAATTGAAACAGAGACTAGACAGTAAGCAGAAAGTGATCAGTTTCGGTTTGGCAAGCCCCTAGGGAAAAGTATGCCAATCAATATGACACTTGAGGTAGTCAGAAATGAAATCACAACCACCCATCATCTCAATAACACAACTACAGTTTCTATTGAGGAAATCATGTGAGAAGTACAGTTATGTCTAACTCCCACAGTCTTGAAGTTTCAAGACAAATTATTCACACAAAGAGAACCAGTAGCATTGTGATGTCCTATATTCTCGGTCATAGCACACATATATATTCATAAACAACTGGAAACGAATGACGCTGTGAACATTTCAATACACCCCAAAAGTATGGAGGCTATATTTATAGATGACACATTTAATATGTTGAAATCAGGATATACTCACAGTTTCTCATACACATCAACTCGATAGTAGATACACTTCAATTCACTTATGAATTAGAAAGTCAAGAAGGAGAAGTGATTATATTGGATTGCGAAATCAAGAGAATACATACTTGGATTTTATACCATCTCACCTTATATCTATTGAAGTAGACTTGGTTAGGTGTTTAAGAGTAGTCGAACTAGTAAGTAGCTTGGCTGATATATCTAAAAATCTAAATAAGGAAGTCAAGTATATTTCACAGAAATTACTACTCAATAAATACCCTTCGGAGCATGTTAAAGAATCTATAAGGACCCACAAGATAGACAGAGAGAGAGAGAGAGAGAGAGAGAGAGAGAGAGAGAGGAATAATTTTGGGTGTAATTGTGACATACTCAGAAGGGAGATTCAAATCGTCTGTAGTGTTGTCAAATGAAGTGGAGACATTAGAAATTCTATGTGGGTTACTCAACAACATTGGGAATGAAGTGGTATTTCACTCCACAAACTCACTCAGAGTTAAACTTAGTTGGCTAAAACACCCAGTAGATTTAAATTAGGCAAAATAACCTAATCTGTCGAATACAAAATAATGATTGTGAGGTTAAGTACATTGACCACAGTGGGGGATTGAATTCAGTCAGGAAAGCGGGGCACAAACATTTAGCGAAATATAGAATAATAATGGAGATTGAGGTAATTTGGTGAAAAACTCAACTATTCCTCTGCATTCACTGACTTATATTCACACTATACAGTGGGATAGTCATAAAATTTAACATAGTAATGTGGAAGGAAAGATCAATTACGTGGTGTCTGATCATCGAGTCAGCACCTAAAACATGTAACAGGAATGATACACATCACAGATTGCAGATATTTAGAAATCTTACTACCACTGAGATGAAAGAATGAAGAGCTATTGAAGTTTGAAAGTTTTTGTGATTACCTTCACATGGATGATAGCAATAAATTATACGGGAAATATCATCCAGTAAATAATACTTTATCGCAGTGTGGTCTAGCAAATAGATTAATCTAATATAGGATCACACTCTACTACGGTGCTCAAGTCTTACTGACATTCAGGGTGTGGGTAAGAGGTCCCGACAGGACTTCACTTAGAAGGGTTTGAGAAATCGCCTATTATCCCTAACCGTCATACGAGATATGGTTTATTGCTAAGCACATACACCTTTACTTGAGGTTCTTTGAGTTGCAGCCTTGTTTCATTGAAAAATCTGTGACTTCACTCCTACAGAACTACACACTATCATGACAAAATGAATTAAAAGTCAGTCAAATAATTTTCGTATTATTTATCTGCATTATTTTTCATTGTTTGTTTTTTCAAAATGAAAATTCATCACATAAGCTCCTAGAATATTTGTTAAAACAAACTGATAAACAAAAAAGAAAGATAGGAGAAAATCAACCGGAAAAAACAACAGTAAAACCACAGAAAAACAGATAGTAATAATAATTGCAATTGAGTATTACTAGTAATATTAATAATAATGATGAAGGTGAGCACAATGCTTACACTATTTTAGATCAAAGAAGAGTTGACATTACCACTGAATCATACAGTCTAGAGAAATAGAGGGACAATGAAGTGAATTGTTCATATCTTAGCAAATATAGTTGGATTTACTAGTGTCATAGAAATATACAATACACATTTATCAGTGTTACTTTCTCACATATGATCTACAATGCGAAGAATGGAATCACTTCTCCTTCAGAAGAGCTTATGATATGTTGTGATACATTACACTCGGTGGATAAATGGTTATCAATAGAAATCACAGTCGGATAGATATGAGACTTAGATTATAGGTACATTCGTTTTCCAATCAAGAATAGAATATAAGAAACAGGAAGTGTATATGTCTCCGTGTATGAGTTGTACAGTGATAACCGCTTGTACAACTATAACATTCATAAATCGAATGAAGAGAAAACAGTATTATCAAAATACAAGAAGTAGTATGTATAAACAGTCAGAAAAGAATTTCATTAACCAAGTTTGTATTATGAACAGATCACCGTGTGTAAATAACGTAAACAACTGGAGAAAAAAATACGAATGAAATTAACTCTGAATCTTTTGAAGAATGAAAGCAAATAATACAGACGGACAACTGAAACAAACTAATCTATATAGCTTGTATCAGTTACGTAATACTGTATCGTTATCAAAATAATGGTGATAATAATAATAATAATTTACCAAGTATACATTTATGTGTATGTATAAATGTGTATACAAATATAACTTCTATCTTCTCTGTATATATGCATGTTAATTGCACTTGTTCGACTTACATGCGCTTCCATTCATTAGCGATTTATTATTTGCTATGCCTATGGTCTGTCTTACAGATGAAACTGTATCCACCGTAGTAGTTGTATCAAGCGTATTAGTGGTGGTAGTATTGGTGCTGGTGTTTGCGTGACTATTCAGTGATCTCTCCGACATATTTGTATGATTATGATGATTGATGTCGTCTGACTTCTTTTCATCTTCTCGTACGTCTTCACATGCTTCCAAGGGGCTTGTCAGTAGGCGAACAGCCATTCGTAGAATGAACTAATTTGACAATGAAAAAAATTAATATGTACATCTTAAACCATAAATAGTACTACAGAGTCGTGGCCATAAAGTTGGATGGCTCTAAAGGTTCCACCCTAGCAACAGATGAAGCAACCAATTACACTTCGCTACTTACTTAAAATCTGCCTTTCTATCTGAAATGACAAAACGTAATCGGTTACTTAAGTCTTTAGAGTCGAGTGACTTTAAAGGCTACCATAGCAAGAACTGAAGTAATCAATCAGATTTCTCTATTTTATAAAAACCGCCTTTTCAGCAAAAATAGAGAAACCCTATTTGGTTATTTAGATTGTTACTAGGGTTGGATTTAAAGTCGCCCTTAAGGTTCCTCAATAAAATGTGGTTCTAAAGGTCACCCTAGCAACAATCGAAATGACCAATTAGGTTTCTGTATTTTTACTGGGAAGGCAGATTTTCATAAAATACGGAAGTTTGATTGGTTATTTTCGTTGTGGCTAGGGTGGCCTTAAAAGTCACTCCAGAAAACCAATCGTGTTTTAGTATTCAGTCTAGGAAGGCAGTTTTCCCATGCACCAGAGAGACCTGATTGGTCACTTCAGCAGTTACTAAGATGGCTTTAGAGTCAGTCATAATAGAGGAGAATTTAATGGCCGCCCCAACAACTGTCAAAATAACCAATCAGGTTGCCGTATTTTGGCTGAGAAAACAATTCTTCATAAAATAGAGAGATGCGATTGGTTATTTAATCAGTTACTAGGGTAGTCTTTGAAGTCACTTCGTAATAAGTCTTAGTGTCCTCGAGCACATCCCTCTACTAAAATAGTGAGCCAAATAATGCGTAAGCTCTACGATTACTATCCAAATATATAAGCAAAATTGACTTTAAAAAACACACTGACAACTGCTTAGGTAACCAATTACGATTCTCTACCTCATGAAAAACTACCTACCCAGCCGAAATACTGAAACCTGATTGGTTGCTTCAGTAGTTGCTAAGGTGACCTTTAAAGTCACTCTGTAAACAATATAAGGTTTGATGAGTCACAGGTTTTCGTTAGCTAAGATAACATATGAACAAACCAGCAGATTAACCTATGTGTCTATACTACCGCATTTCTCATTATCAGTTTGGCTATCTGAGATGTCGTGGTTTGGCGGACTTGTATTATTGCTGAGTGATGACATCCGAACTCGGGACCGATCGCATCAAACGCCAGAGCGTTATCCACTACACCACCGAGCCGCGATAGCCACTTCTTATGCGACGGGTATAGTTTTAGTGTTATTGCTTGTATTATACCGTCGTTAATTGCATCGAATTGATCGGTGTCTATTGGCATATGGGTTACTGTGTGGATGCCCCGATGCTGCCTGTGTTCTTAATTATGTAGTAATGATAGATAGTGGCTAGTAGTGGGATCCCGAGTTCGAATCCTGGTGGGAACAACACCCACTGGGAAGCAGGTATATCCACCCGACGAGTCCCAAGTAGGACGAAATGCGCATCCTGCTAGCCACTACTCATCATTACTATATATTTAAGAACGTAGGCAATATCGGAGCATCCGCAGAGGAGCCCATATCCCAATAGAGATCGATCAATTCAGCTCAATCAACGACGGTATAATACAAGGAATAACATTAGAAGCATACTATTGTTGAAAATAAATAGTTTTGATACATACCGTGAACCAATAGATGTGCATTAAGAATAATCCCCATAACAAGGAATTGAAGAATAGGAAACCTCGACTCTCTCGACCAACTAAAGCAATATAAGCTCCCCAAGATGTAGCATACAGTACTTTCAATGGATACCAGTAGAGTCGTAAAACAACCCTATAATGAAAAACAACAAATGCGAAGCAGTATATATCAAAACTATATAACAGACATGAGATGTATGATGATGAGTTATATTCAATGATATCATTTATTATAGTTAGCAGTAAAGTCCCAAAATGTGAATTTCTTCTAAAAATGATGGCCGAATGAAATCAATAAAACAGAAAGCCAACACTCATAAGTTGCCACAAATAAAGGATAAACGTAATAAACTAAGTAACTGGAGTGATAATGTTCAGATAATTGAGACGATGGATGACAGATAAGTTTGTTTTAGGATAACCCCATCAATACATTTTCATTACCTGAAAAGTCTCAAATATAAAGTCGAAAATTGAATTACGGGAAATAGATATTTTTGTTAGTAACGAGTGATTAAAAAAATCCCCCTAACAACAACAAAAATAACCACTTAGACTTCTTTATTTTATGAAAATCTACCTTTCTGATTGATATAGAGAAACTTAATTGGTCTCATTGTCTTGTTAGGACGGTTTTTAGGAGTTAATTGTTATTATTACAGGTTGACAATGAATCAACTGGTATTCACAACTGATCTACCTTATAAAAAGTGAACATATAAAGTTTACTAGCTATTTACAAGTTCATAGACATCATCATGAGTCATATCTATCTATCTATCTACCATGAGAGCTGATGATAATATAATCCAATTGAAAACTAAAGTAAATGATATTATTATTTGTAATTTCCTGTCGTTGATTAAGTCGAATTGATCGGTCTCTATTGGCATGTGGACTCACTTACGGATGCCTTGATATCGTCTATCGCTTCAATTTTATAGCTATCACAGATAGTCCCTAAGCAGTGGAATCGATGACGTGCACTTCGTCCTATTTGGGACTCATAACAGCTAGGTGTACCTGCTGCCACCTCCTAGTGGATGATGTTGTTCGGGCAGAGACTCGAACACAGGATCGGCTGTTTCAACCTTCAGAACGTTATCCACTAGGCAACTAAATCACGATAGTTACTAGCGTATAACGCTCTGACGTTAGAAGCGATTGGTCATAAGCTCAAGTCTTGGTAGGAACAACATCATCCACTAGGGGGGCAGGTACATCCAGCTGACGAGTCTTACAGAGGATGAGACGCACGTTATGGATTTCACTGCTAGTCCCTACCCATCATTACTACCAAACTGAAGTAGATAAGGTGGTTTTTAACTGATTTCATCATAATTTAACTGCAAACACTAACAGGCAATAATTCCATATGAGAATATATATTGGTAAAAATGTATGCTTTCGGGTGTCCAGGTTGTATCTACTTAGTCAGAAGATATTAAAATATGGTCGAACTCATGAATAAGTGATATTTCTATATAGACAAAGTGCAACAATCGAAAATATCTCTGAATAGCCTGAAAATATAGCTTGAAGTATGTTTTCCGCCAATGTACTGATTTTCTTAAAGACAAATACATACAGGATAACTCCTTACTATATTTTGATGTTGCAGCGTTATTTATCAGGGTCGTTATTGAAAACATTACATTATATGGGTAAATCGATAACGGATAGTGGGATAAATATTCTGGTCTACCACTAAGTGACTCAAAAGGAATTTATTCTATGATCCAGGACCAATGTTCAGCTCATGTTCAACACAATGACTTGTATAGCTAAATAGACGTGGTAACAAAAGGCTTTTTGATTGAACCTATACTGGATGACCGAAGTTAGAAAACAATGATCTTAAGACTTATACACTTAACAAACATACTGCTGTTATATGAACAGTACTTTTGTGTAATAAAAAACGTTAAGGTGGATGACTTAGTCAAAATTTCAGGAGAGTACACCCAAGGATTACTGTTTCACAAAGTAATGACAATGTAAATAAGTCGAAGCAAATTACAGTAAGCATGAAGCCTGTTTTCATTGATCACCAACTTCAAAGGTGACAATTTTTTGGAGGGATTAGTAGAGAACTAAAACTGTACTGAGCAGAATATATTCTGCAGTGAAGTTGATCCTCACTCTACAGAACAACATTCTCATTGATGCAACCAAATGTCGACAGGTTCCTGTTTTATGTATACAAGTTTGCGTGCATATGTGCTAGTAGTTACATCAAGAGGATACAGAGAAGAGAATCAAATAGATCCTTTAAACACATACGAAAAAGTTTACGTTTCAGCGGGACAAGTGCTTTCAATAGTGCAGTCACTCGGCGTTTTATCAACACAGGGTATGAAGTGGATACTTTGGAATCCTTTAAGGTAATCAACAAACAACATAATTCGACCTTTCTCAGGTCCGCTGAAGCCATAGAGATCAAACGACTGAAACGGGAATTGTGCATTCAAAAAGAAGCAGTGCTAGGTCGTTATTTGCCCTGATAACCTAATATTTTAATCTTCTGCTTATTTAATGACACCATAGTATGACTGGACCGTTTTTACGTCCATGCATAATCTTGATAGTCGTTCCACTAACTGAGTTCAACTCATTATGTTGTTAGATAATTTATTTGTTCTCTATCATCGAGTAACCAACTTCATCTTTTTACGCAACCTTTTATTACTGTTCATAAACACCTTTCTTCAAACTCTGTTGAAATATATATATCTGAAACTTCTTTGTATACCATGTTAACTCTATCTGGTTGTTTGTATTCTTTATAAAACCATATTGCTCTCTGTTAACCAATTTCATTGGACTGCAAAAAAGTATGTTCAAATTCCTTTGTAATATGATATTTAAATGCTTTTAAGTTGTAATCATCTGATAAAAAACCGGAGGAATAAAATGGTACCACGTTATTCTGCGCCAATCGTTCTTATTTCTCTATTCTTTAAACAAAATTCCCTTCTTACAAGATCGGATGAAGGAGTAATTACTAGAAGTGTGTACAGAAAGTCATCTTGAAGAAGATAATAAATACACTTCTATAGTCTTGATATTTTATGGCAGAAAATAAATTTGATTATATATTTGATAGACAGAAAAAAGGGAATACACACAGAAACAAAAATTGATGAAGAATATGTTTTGAGGAAATGGATACCCAAATAATTTACTGAAGAGAAATACGGGAACAGAAATGATCAAAAGTTATTTACAACTGTAGAACACAGAAACTTCTCAACTTTAAGTGATGTTACAGCTGAATGCGTTTTACTGCCACAGGATTGTTTATATGTCCACAGGAATGTACTGCTCCTCTAAATTAACTTATTTTAAGTGCAATATCAGGTACATATCTCAACGCGCTAATCAGCACAAAAAGCGTAAGAAAGACTGTTACTAGCTCTATACAATGATACCTAATCAACAATGAGCACTAAGTGGACGAAAAACCCGCCTATTTAATGATTGACGAGATACCTAACCAACTATAACAAGTGGTAAAAATCTGTCTTATACAAACTGCTATCAAAATATTGAGATCAAACTTCGGGTAGAGAAGAAGCTAGCAGATTCGTTTCGTTCGTTCGTAGTTCTTCTGAATGTCACATACAAATCAATTTCAAGATGACTTATGTTGATTTGATTCGTGCTTAATGAGATAATTTTATGTTGTTTGCCTAGATTCACATTCAACTTTCGGCCTAATAAGTGATTTCCTAAGTCTATTGATCCCTTTTATTCAATGATTGTCTTAACTATTGTGAAATAATATAAGAAAATGATTTTCAATTTGACATAGGAATTATTTAATATTAAAATTATTCTACTTAAAGGTTCTCAGTGATGTCTTTGAAGTCTGGACAGGAGTGAGACAAGGTTGATGCCTACTATCACCGATCATCTTGTTGATTGTGGTCAACTGGATTAGACTGGATAATGCAAGAAACTGTGGGGAGTGAGAAGATGGCCATCCGCTGGCTGGACTGATGAAAAGGCCCCAGAAGATTTAGATGTCGCCGATGGCGATGATGATGATTTATGTTTAACGTGTTGTCGCACAAACTCGAAGGTCTACATGCGATAACTAACAAGTTAACAGGAGAGGTGAGGCGAGGCGAGGCGAGTCGAGGCAGCAAAGACGAAACTCCCTTCAGGTGGATGTAGAGAAGACAGAGGTAGAGGTGATCAAGTTACCGAACCACCACCGTCATCAACAACAACATGCACTAATCGCCATCAACAGGAGACATCTAAATGAAGTTGTCTCTTTCACCTAACAACTAGGCAGCATCGTCTCAACTACAGGCCGTGGCGGTGGCACACATGAGGATGTCAAAGCAGCCAGGATCGTGGACACAGCAAAACAGACCTTCCTGCATTGTTCTGAAATCAGTGTAGAGATCTACTGCACTCCACTGTACTGCACTCAGCATAATGCATGTGTGAACAAGATACGGATTTTCAACACTAATGTCAGTCAGGTAAGGCAAAGCTTCTATGTGATGGTTGAGAGACTGGGTGCGTTACGAAAAGCATTTGCAACAAACTAAAGACATACATCACATCATATGAACAGCTGACGCCTACGCTCATTCGATACTGAAGATCAGATGATCAGAAAGAATAAACAACAAGGAACTCATTCTAGCCTGGCAACGAACCAACCAAGAACCCATCGTCCAACAAATATGCAGAAGAAAAAGGTGGAGATGGACTGGATTGGAAATACATTGAGAAGACCATTCGGGACATCATGCGCCAGGCCAGTTGGTCGAGTGGAACCCAAGTTGGTGTCTGAGGTGAGGGTGACATGGAGGGGATGATGTGAGGAAGAAATGAGAGCTTGTGGGCAGTCGTGGAGCCAGGTTGAAAAGACTGGAGAGAAGGGAGTGAAATGGCGAAGCCCTATGTTCCACTAGGAACCCAAGGGACAAATAAATAATAAAATACTTAAAGGTTGGATTTGATGATACATTAACGGATATTCACTTCAATGAAAAATAATTCATCAAGCAAACATTCTCATATGGTAGAAAAACTTACCATGAAGCAGCAAACAGCACGAAAAAGATATTAGCAATAGTCATATGAATAGGATGAGTTTTCCCATGTCGAATACGTAGATAGATATTCACTTTAGCCAATTCTAAGAATACATCGCATAAATCATGCAAAAAAAGCACTAGAACACCCATACGATGAAGTCTACATAAAAGTGAAAGTAAAACATTCTAAATATTTATTATAGATAATTTAACAGATATGCTATGCAATTGAGTAGAAAATGAAGATGAAAACAATGGCATACTAGACAATAACAGAGAAATTGGTGTTAAGTATACACCCTTCAAGTACATACTTCTACTAATCAGTTAAAATTTCCTTTTGCTTACACATCGCATAATAACAAAACTAGTTTGTAAAGAAATGTGAAGAGTACAAACAAGTTGTTGCAGTATAATTTCAAGACATATATGCTTATATAATGAATGATTATAAATGACTTTCGATTGAAAAATAGACAAATAAGCAAATGAATAAAACTCAGCTTTGTTTTATCAATTCACAAGACTCATAATCTTTCTAGGATCACGTACTATCTACTGGTATTGCATAACTCTTGAACTTAATATACACTGACCATCTAACTGATAAGAGATATCAATTCAGGGTTATATAGCATACGATTTAGTGAATAATAATGTATAAGATTCACATACTAGTTGTTACATGTAATTTTAGACCCAAAAAATGACTTATCTTAACAAAACAACAAAACGGAAGCAATCATATATACTGATTGAAATGATCATACCTTGAATATATAGATGCAATGAGTGGAATTTTTTGAAAGGTTGGTAAGGATAAAAATAATGATATTGTGAACAATAAAGAATTTTACAAGAAAAAGCATATAATATGCCTTTCCCTACATGTCTTAAACTAGAAGCCAGAGACTGTATGGATTGCTGATATGTCTGGTCTGGAATCCAACCAAAACTTGTGTGTCATAGGCACCTACTAACTTATGGTTCGAGACTCTATTTGCTATGACTCAGAATCTCTCTTAGTGTTACAGGCACACACACACACATACACACATAGTATATTCACCTCAATCATTATACTGAATTTCATTTCATTTCTTCTTGTTCTGTCTTCAAGACTTTCGACTACTTGTAATAACTTTTTTCTCTACTTTTCTATCTTGATGCCTTTTACACCCTGTGTTTACAGGCAACATGAACCGTTAGGCAATAACATCAGGTTTCATGTGATCCTAAATGGACTGGCCAACCTAATGACTGAAGTATGTGAAGATGTGGCTCATACATTGACTTAAGAAATCTACTTTCAATCCATGATTCACGGGTTGAGTTGAATTATTATTTACATAAGTATGCAGGCAACAGAAGTAAAAGTTAACCCGCTAGCTCAACTGTTAGTTTACTCATCGCCTTCATTAGTAATGTAAGGATGAAAATCAAACCGATATTTTTCATTTACTATAACAAGTAAAATACTCAGCAGACAAAAAGAAATCCATGACATATTACATGAATATTAAAAAATAAATGATAGACTAATCAGTCATAAAAACTGTAGGCCTACGCTTCAACTCTAAGAGCAATTACACATTCCAACAACTTCTATCATCCGTAATTCCTGACGGTGCCTATCGACTAGATTTATTCTAGGTGGTCGAATACTACAAAGATCTGCTAAGAAAACTTATCATCAAGTTTAATGCTCTTGAGATATGCGCAACTTATTGTCACCTTCATGTTAGGACCATTAATTCATTAATAGTACAGTAATCACCATGTAGACCTGTTTTGCACAAAATCTGGTATGCTTTTATCTATGATCTGTACACAGAAATGGTCAAACGGATTGTAGTATGAGAACTATACAAAATCTTTAACTGATTTTCATCATTGAAGCTTCTAGCTAGCTCAATGTATGAACCACTCAGGTGATAGGAATCAATAGTTGGAGATATTTGATGGATAGAGTTAAAAATCGATTACAATGACGCAGATATACACACATTTTGTCGTGTCTAGAGTCATAAAATTCCTTTCGTTAGCCTGAATCCATTTATGCTCTGTATTCACACACACTTTTATTTGCTTGGATGTACCTTTTTTGTTGTATAGTGGGGATTTGAAGTGTGGTGAATTGAACGGATGCACTTTTGTGTCAGATTGTAAGTGTTGATATGTCAACCGGTGAATGTTAATCACTTTATTTTTACACCTGTAATCTCTAAGTGATAGAAACACAAGATGATACTACTATTTATTGACATACTTGTTATTCTCCGTTGTTTTGTTGGATCGAATTGTTCGACCTCTATTGGCATATGGGCTCCCATGCGGATACCTCGATATTGCCTGAATGTTAATTATGATAAATTGGTTGGTTGTGGCTAGCAGAAGAATCCAGGAAGCGCGTTTCGTCCTATTTAGGACTCGTCAGCTGGATGTACCTTCATCCCAGTGTTGTTCCCACTGGGACTCGAACCTCGTACTCATCGCTTCAAACGCCAAGGTGTTATCCACTATACCACGGAGGAACGATAGTCACTTCTACACAAGATGATACACTGGAATATCGTTCACAATTTACTCCATCAACTTTGGCTATATAATGAAAACTTCATCCACTATATTTTCCAGTAAACACTTGTCTAGTTTTAATACTTCTGTAGCAGAATGAAAATCTTCATCAAATTTAAATAACAGTTGAAAAAACAATTATTCACATGTTGACTGAATAATAAGACTGAACATGCAATCTACAAATTTTAATTTTTTTTTTTAAAACAACAAAACGCCGGATAACATCTATAGAATTTCATGCTAATATCAGATAAGAGTAATGGATAATGTAAAAAAAAAAATCTACTAAACACAATCAGTTATGTAAACCATAGAAATAAGCTGATTGGCATTCATACAGAAATACAGTAATAATCTCTCTTTCACAACTCTAAAGTTCTAAGACATGCGATTCATCTAATCATGTATTAAATATGTTTACCTATAACCTACCTCAAGCATGCAATTGTGTATAGAGTACTCGTAAGCTGTAAAAGTAAGGTCAAAACAACAAGAAGAAGAAGAAGAAGTTCATCATCATACTGACTATCTATAGTGGAGTGGTATTTAGAAAAAGGAAGCTTCATAGATGATAGATATTTAAAAAGATACTTGTAAAGTAAGTAGTTGGAGACAGTGAATGAGTGAAACGGTTTTAAATCAACCTTACTTTATTAATCGATAGTAAACACATTTTTGTTTCACATTTACTTACTAACTTTTATCTCCTTTCATTGATCTTTTGCTGTTTCTTGTAATTATTAATCTCTTCCCCCACGTTAATTCTGCTAATGTCTCCAATTACTTCCTTATGGAAAGTGGTGGAACTTAAGGTATAGGTTCTAACCGATTGATGGCTAATCTATCAGAAATATCTACATATCAGTAATTGTTTTGTACTTCCATATATACTTAAGCTTAACATCAATCGCTTCAAATTCCAATCTTATTCAATCACTTATTTACATAATAATATAACCATCTCTTGTTCAGGAAATATTAATTTTCTTCGTACAACATTTCTCAAATAACAAAGTTCACAGTTCATTTGAATTGTGTTTTTGCGTGAAAAGCTATTCACATTGAATTCCAAGTACCAGAAAGATTACGAAAACAAGAAAATTAGTCTTGAGCAAGGCTACATTTTTCAGTATTTACTATTTTTAAATATGAAGTGATTTGAACCATATTTTATTCTATAAAGAAAGAAAATATGACTTCTTCGTAGCTGTGACACACTAGAAATCTACGGGTTTTTTTTAATTTTGAGGGAGTTGTGAAGATTTGGAATTATTTCAAGTTGTTATTCATCGTAGACTGACATCAGTTGGAGGAACAAAGGAAACCTGGGAGCACTGGACAGCTGTTTCGTCCTAGTATGGGACTCCTCAGCAGTGCGCACCCACGACCCCGCCAGCAGGGATCGAACTCGCGACCTTCAGGTTCCGCGGCCAGCGCGTTAATACTTAATCGGCAGTTCATAAACATACCTGACCAATACTCAAGGGCAACTTTTGACCCTGATATTTACCTATTTTGCAAGTATTATGAGAATTATTCTGGTTAATGATGTGAATAATGCAACGATCATATGTATTCCACAGTAACATTACACCGTAATGAAGAAATATGTGAATTGGAAATAAATAAAAATTTCAGAGGAAAAAGCAAACAATCATGATATGCAAGTTTACTTAGCTAAGTAATATTCCGTTTTATCATAATTAATTAGTAAGAATTTTAAAAACTTATGGGTAGTCATTACATCTTAGATTATTTCTAATTATTACAAATAAAACTTGTGAAATACCCTGATAAACTTTTATATTTCAGTATTTTCTTATTGCTGCCAGTCATACAGTGATAGTCTTATCTATTCTCAATGTGAATGTATGACTAATTAGCTTACGCACGTGATTTATCAACCAAATATTAACAAGATTGAACCTCACTTCATCTACCAAGGTTCAGACAGTTAGACAGTATCATCAAACACTATACAACAGGTGTCGCAGCAGCTCATTGGCTACTGCATAAACCTACATGCAGTTGCTGACTTACATATCTTTATCCTCTGGCCTCTATTCTGTGATTTCACTTTCTCATAACTTTCATTTCTGGCCTAAAATTAAGACATGGATACAAAAGGCTCATCCAGTTTTAGTTAACTTATGCTATTTACAGTACCATCGTGATTTAAAACTGCTTATCAAAAGTCGAGTGCATTGCACAACAGTTCGCTCTGTTCTATTATATGGCTTTGAAAAATAGTCACTGAAAGTGGATGACATAAGAAGGCTTTGGGTTGTCGACCACCATTGTCTTCGTGTGTGGTGTAACCCCACAAGCAATATAAAAGTTAGACGTAGAGGTTTAGGTAGAAGAGATAAGTCAGTTGATAAGTTTGTGAACTTTCATCAACTTACATGGCTGGGACATATGTTAAGCATGCTTAGTCACCATCTCTGTGAAGTAGGGTTATGTTAGCTACAGTAGGCTTGGGGCTTACATCAGAAAAAAGGTTAGAGGCGATCAGACTGAAATATGATATTAGTCCCTGAAATCGTTCACTGTTGATCTGAGCTATTTAAGCAAATGTAGACCTCCTAATTGTGCTCCACATGACAACCGAGATAAGCGACTGAAGGTTCCAAGTGATACAGTTCAGAAACAACTTCAGTGTAACATATACACATATACAGTATCTTTATCTTAGTCGTCATACTGAATTTCAGTATCGCTTCATTCCTTCTTGTTCCCTTTCCAAGACTTTCTCCTTCATTGGATTACTTTTTTCTGCATCTTGGTCCACTTTATCTTGATGTGTTGATATGCGCAGTTATGTCAGGTTTCAATGTTGATGTTGACGAACTGATAACAAATAGTGAAATCTCTACGAAGAGTAAAAGTGATTGAACTAGAGATGCTACTCACCTGCCCAAGCCAAAGTAGAGTCGAATATCTCTACTCTAAGCGTAGAAATCCCCATTAGATTAAAAAAAGTCAGTCGATATCGCAGTGGTTTCAGAAAGGTTGAATACATTGGCTAAATTTTCATTTTCGAAAGGAGAAAATGAACACAACCAATCACTAAACTTTGACAGCCAGAGAATCTCGATAGCGTTATTGGAAGACAAAGTTCATCACGACGATATGATGCATTTGTGCAATACATTTAGAACAATCTGATCAATCACATATTCACTTAGCATACCAATTTATACTTAAGCCGAGGAGTGCCAAGACAAATAAAACAATCAACATAATACGAGATAACAACAAATACGAAGACTGACATTCTTCAGCCTAATCTTAATAAGAAAACAAACTTCACCTAGGTAGGTGTAGTGGAAGAACAAACTGTTCTTCTACACACACACCTGCTCCCAATTCCTTACAATTTCCCTATGGCTTCCTCAACTATCACTATACACTCCTGAATACTTCTACACAAAACTTTGATGAAAGCTGTTTCAACATCAACTCTCTCACCTGACCTGTTTACCTATAAATGAAGATGGTTGTCTCCCACCAGCGTTTATCACCGTCTCACACTCCATTCATCATTCAAGCCATTTAGGTACATGTTTACAACTACATGCCTCGATTACTCCACCCTACACATGTGTCACACACCACATGCACACACACACACACAGATGTAAATTGGTAAACACAATGGGATGTGACTCAATCATTGATAGAGTGTTTAGGTTGGTTTAGGTGGTGAAGCATGTGTTTTGTTTCATCCACAATGATAAGATTAGCTGTGCAATATGTTTTCTCAATGTCTGATGTTAGCCTACATCTCAAAGTGATACTATTCAACTCCCCTGTGTATGCTGGAGTGATATGGATGCTTTTCTCAGGAATCGTGTGTAGAGTTGGTTTCGGTGGTACTTGTACTTGACCTCTACAGTGGTTTATGAACTTCAACGGATATCTGTTTTCCATAAATGTTTTGTTCAGTAATTTGACATCTTCATCTGTCGTATGTGATGTACAGTACAGATTGGATATATCCTATTAAACAGGCATTTTACTAGATGTCTCTTGTATAGGATTGGACAAAGACTGTGGAAATTTAGGTATTGTCCTTTCCACATAGGCTTTCTGTAAACTGACTGTCTTATTGAACCATCTTCTCGTCGTCTCAGGAGTGTATCCAACGATGGCCACAGAATCGACAAGTGGAATTATGTTTTCTAATTTTATTCTGACCGAATGTGAAGAACTTCTGAATATAACTTTGATAACAAGATTCTATTTCAACCGACTGGCCAACCACCAGTCACCAACAAAGTAATCACAAAATATTTGACAGACTATCAGAGACTAAACATTTTCATACAGTTTACTTTTATCATACCGTTCCACTACTATAAAGGCTGTTGACTGTCAGTAGGCAAAAAATACTGCAAATTAATGACTGCATATTTCTATGATGCCTCGAAAGCTAGTTCTTAAGGGTATATACAGTGAAAGCTTAAATGAAAACTAACAAGCTGGACAGATGATGATGGACACTGCAATCTAAGCGACACACATGCACACACACGACATATGAAAGCTAAACAAACTTTAGACAGCGCACAGATAAAGGACAACACACCTCAAACGCAGAGAAGCGAAACATGAAGAGAATACAACAGAAAAATGTAACAGCAGTAATATAGATGAAATAATCTTCATTGTTATTGATAACAATAGTAATAATACTGCACATACCACTGTATGTCATATAAAAAAATGAGAGAGAGGGAGAGAGAGTTACATCGCTCACTGTGTTAAAGTTTAATAGGGAGTGTGCGACACCTTTGATAAGTAAAGAAAGATAGACAAGGGTGTAACTTAAATTTCGGCAGTGATTTGTTATAATTCAATGGTTGTTTAACTCGATAAGGAAGTTACTTAACAATAAAATATAAAGTCAACTAAATAACGAGAAATGAATCACTACTTTATAAAGTAGATTACTTTGATAACGATGGCTTAGCAAGAAGACAATAGTAACTGCATGTATGTAACATAAAAAAAATATTGCGAATGTGCAATGTACTCAGTAGCCTTGAATACATTTGTGCAGTAGGAAACAAGCTAGACCTATTGGCTGACCAAACCTCGGTAGATGTTCCAATCAACGACTCATTGGTTGAAATTCATCTCCCCAAACCAATGAGTCACAGCTCCATACAAAAGGGTGTTACATGTATGCACTTTTCTCAAGCCTTGGATTGGCTCTTAACATCTAATGTCAAACAGCTTCTACCATGGGAATTGTTTAGCATTCTTTGAGACAGTATTCGATTGTAGACGTTTGATCACAAGGTTTCATGATGAAACAACTTCCATTCTCATTGTGAACTATGCAATACCAGTATCAATTGGCTTAGTGTCAGAAGCATAGAGTTGAAAGCTACCTCCACCACTCATTCAATGGCTAATTTGTGCACTACGAGGTATTTGTTCTCAGTACGATAACTTACAAGTGAAATGAGCACTAGCAAAGAATATTCCTGTTTATTCCCAGAACAGTAGAGAATCTCCTTGGACTGATGCGAGCTTTAGAAAACTTCAATGAACCAAACGTCTAACAGTGTACTGAGTCATGTTTCAAATTATGCATATTCTGTCAGTCAGCATATAGTGGCAATAAAGCGTCTCAAAGCAATAGACAGACAGACAAAGAGAGATAGAATACTTCATTGTCCAATGATTTAACTTTTCCAAATTCCATGAATCCGTGATATAGTGTAAATGTAACGTATTTAACTATCTAGTGCATATCCATGAAGTAGGCAATGAGCCACACCCATTGTGTGAGGGCTAGTAGATACTACCTAGCTGCCAAAACCTCGGTGGGTGGAGCGGGGATCGGACCTGTGACTTAATGTTTGGTAGTCATCTCCTTGAAACACTGAGCCACAGTCCCACTGATATAGCGTACAGTATTAAGAAGTGGGTATAAAAATGAAAACTGATCATCGATAAATTGTCTTGGGATCTAAAAGCATTAGATTGTTTAGAGCAATAAATTGATTCCGGTAAGATAGGTGAATCAGTGCTGTACACAATTTCTACTGAACCTCACTGAAAAACAACTTAACAGACATCATCAAAAGGCTTGGAGGCAAAAGTCACTGAAGGAAATTACTGTTGATAGACAGTATCACAGTGAGTAAGCAACCTAAGTAACAAGAAAAGTAGGCAAGTGATAAGCGATGAGAGCAATTAAGGAAAAACTTTTCAATGTATTTATTATCGGTTATGTAAAGCTTACCTTAAAACTAGTGAACCTTCCAAAAGTAAAATTGCTAGTAGGTGATGAATTACCAATACAGTTGAATCTTTACGCCATGCATCCATAAAAAATACACTCCAGAATGAATGAATATAAAAGCCCAGTTGCAGTGTATAAAGCCAATAGTAGTCTGATGGAGTTGGAATGTCGAAGTATCCGACTAATATGAGCACGAAATAGTGTAAAAATGGAAGAATAATAGATCAAAGAAACAATTAAATCACTTAACGTATATTTATACAGACTTACAAAGCTTTCATAAACAGATGCAGAGAGACAGAGTGGAAACTGCTAAATTTTAAAATACATGTATGATCTGATCTGCATCTCCAATCACAGGCAAATATCAGCTTGGTAAAGCAGTTATCCAGAAACCACTCCTACTCATAGAGGGTCGGTCTCAACGAATTTATAAAGTATGAGTTCAATCATAAAGATAAATGAACTGCTTCATAGCTGCAATTTCCCGTTGGTATACAGGGTCGAATAGCTCCACTTCTGTTAGTAGATGAGCTCCTATGTGGATGCCTTGATACTGATTAATATTCATGATGTTATATTGATTTTGGTGACTAGCAGAGGAATTCAGGACGCACGTTTTGTCCGATTTGCGACTAGTCAGCTGGATGTGTACCCTGGTGAGTGATGTTGTTCCTACTGAGGTCCAAAGTCAGTACTCTTCACTTCAAATACCAGAGCGTTATCCACTGGAACACGATAGCCACCTCTTGTGGGATGGGTATCAGTTATTGTTATGATACTTGTAATTTCGCGTTGCTATACAGGGTCGGATTGATCGACCTCTGTTAGCAGATAGGCTCCTATGCGGACACCTAGACACTCCAAAATATTCATGATGTTATACTATTTCATAGGTTGTATTAACTAGGAGCACTAGTTCTGGATCTCAGTACTAATCGAGTTGTATTGAACTGAAGAACATAAAGTACTTATTAAGTTATTCTACATCCATTCTCCAGAGCATTATCTATCGATACTAAATGTAAGTTGTCTATAGAAAGCATATTTAACCAATTTAATTGCAACCTGAAAAGCTTAAAAATAAATATCATGTGAATGTTAGGTGAAGTATGAACTTTCATAGAATCTCGGATATTTCTTGTTCAGGTATAAGAATAGATTTACTTCAATTGAATTGAAGACAATTTATGAAGTTTATTTTTGAAAAATTAATAGTAGTCTGTCAACCAAGGTATTGAATGATTCAAGAATTTAGAATGTGTGTTATTCAGCAATTATAAGTTCATTTTAGTCCATCATCATTGTGGAAAAGGTAAGAAAATCAGTTGAACCTTAATAACCTATATTTACCATTGCTTTTATGATATACCATAGACGAAACTCGACTACCTCAGCAACTGTTATACTCCATTATTATTATTATTATTATTATTATTATTATTATTATTATTATTATTATTATTAGTCCCTTGGGTTCCTAATGGAACATAGGGCTTCAGTAGCATGTCTCCAGTGACCTCTGTTCTCTGAAATCTTTTGAACCTGGCTCCACGACAGCCCAGAAGCTCTCATTTCCTCCTCGCACGATCTCTTCCACGTCACTCTCGGACGACCAACTCGTCGCTTCCCATAGGGATTCCACTCGAGCAACTGGCCTGACGCCTGATGTCCTCAGTCGGCCTTCTCAGTGCATGCTCAATCCATCTCCACTTCCTTCCACCGCATATTTGTTGTGTGATAGGTTCTCGGTTGGTTCGTTCCCAGAGTTCCTTGTTGCTTATTATTTCTGACAATTCATCTGATCTTCAGTAGCGAGCCAGCGTAAGCAGTTGTTGATGAATGTCTGTAGTTTATTGGAAATCCCTTTCGTAACGCGCCAAGTCTGTTATACTCCATTGTCCACACTTTAATCATCAATATGAATTTTTGAATTTATTTATAACTTTTTTTGATTTCATTGCAATGAATATTTAAATCTCATTGTGAATGATTCTCATACAATTTTGGTAGATCCTTTTTTCGCAGATTCATCATTCAACACATTAAACAAACTCTTTACCATAGTTTGTTTCGTTAATAAAAATTAAATTTTTTACGCAGAAATGAAATCTATGAAGCATAAAGTGCATGGTAAATATTACCGGGTCAATTCCTTTAAGCAATAACTTTTTATTAATCGATGTATATGATGAAAGAGCAAAGTTTAATATTCATAACTACTAAAAAAATATCATTGATATATATGTATATCATCCTCTCAGTTGACGCATGATATTTATACAAATATTCGGTCAAATGTTGGTCAGAGGTTTAAATAAATTCATGAACTTGACAAAACTACAAATCTAGGAGATTTCAAGTGGAATTCTCTGACAAGCGTAATATAAGAAAATGAGTTTAATACAGTTTTATTTTAAATTTCTTAACATTCAGTAGAGAAAAGCCCCTCACAATTCTAGTCAATGTCTCCAGTGTGAATTTCACATACTATTAGCCAATTATTTTTCCTCTTCATTCCATTATCAATATAGATGTCAATTCTTTAGGGGTAAACACATACATAACACGTTCAAGTGTTATGCGTATACATTTATTATTTATCCCTTGGGTTTCTAGTGGAACATAGGGCTCCAGTATCACGTCTCCAATGCGCTCTGTTCTCTGAAATTTTTCAACCTGACTCCACGACTGCCCACAAGCTCTCATTTCTTCCTCACACCATCTCCTCCATGTCACCTTTGCCTCAGACGCACAACTCGTCGTTTCCCATCTGGGTTCCAGTCGAGCCACTGGCCTGGCGCGTCATGTCCCCAATCAGTCTTTGTGGGTGAAAGAGGTTACTTCCTTTAAGTTTCTCCCGTTGATGATTACTGGAGCTTGTTGTTGTTGGTGGTTGAGTATCATCATCACCTTTGTCTTCTCTACGTTCACTTGAAGTCCCATCTTCCTTCGCTGCCCTGCCTCTTCTGTCAACTTGTTGGTTTTTGCCTGTAGACCTTCGAGTCACCGGAATACATATACATGATCCCGTTAAATGCTGAAAACGCTCATCATTAACTATCCTAGTCTACTTTTTCTTTCTGTTAATTCGCACGTCCTCTCCACAAATTATCTTTATGCAGTAAGTAAATATGTGTTTCAAGCTATGTCCCAAAATCTTCCAATAAGGCAGCAGTACCATTTGGCTATGCGACTGAATCAACTGGTAATCTCTCATATCCATTTATTCGACTCACGTTTCTCAGATTAGCAAGGAAGATTTAGATGGTATTGAAGAATACGAGCAAAGAAGACAATAGCGATTAGAATTGTTACTTTCTTCAGTGATGAGACGAGACCAGATGTAACGATATCATTGGTTGTAGATTTTCGTGCATTAAGTCCAAAATTTGCGATCTAACAGTTTGTTTTTACTCTTTAGTTAATTATTCTGCGATAAAATCCAACTATTCTCACTCACCTAGTATTTTTTTCTATATGAAAACGACTGAGACAGATCTGAAGCTTAGGTGCATGGGGGATGGGAGCATGATTTGGTAGACTCGTGTTTCTCGAACCAGAACTTATAATTATTCTCAACTGCTAGTGCTTTCATTATCATACGCTTGACAAACTAGCAATGCTGATGTCAGTTGGTCAGATCTCGGCGGGTCTACTTAGGCGTTTGGTAAGATTTCCATCTACCAATTCACTGTAAGCTGTGATCTTATTGCTATCAAACGGTCTTCGTTGTAGACATACAAACAAATTAGTGCAAAATTATTTCATGCAGTCAGTGTTAGACTATTTCTCATCACAATTCACACAAAAGGTACCTTTTAATGTTAGCATATTTGGATTTGGCATAGAGACTTCAGATCAGTTTTTTTCCTCAGAAAAAATTGTAACTAACGTGTAGTATAAATGAGTCTGAAATAATCTACCTTAAAAACAGTTAACAGCTAAAAACAGAAACCATCATAAACATGTTAACAAACGATACTGAAAACAACTAACAATTCAGAGTAATTTATGCTGAAAGTTTAACACTTTGAAGAGATATACTCACCTTCAAATCTGACTCCACGTAAAGTACGCAAAGGATATTGAAAGTCTGTCTTACCACTTAACAATACAACTTTCAAGCTAAAAATCCACATAGACAGGAACCAAAAGGCTTTCCAGCTAGATTCAATAAGCTTGTTAGACGTTTCTGGTGTTACACCCACGTCACAAATGAGTTTCTAAACAACAGAAAAATTACAGTAATCTCACTATAGAACACAGTTAAACATAACTGAACTCGAAATAAATTGATTCGTATGTTTCACAGTCCACCTTATCAATTTCAAAATGAGACACAATAAGCCATCTACTGAAGAAATATTACGCATGATTTTTATTTTGCGAGAAATTTCACGATTACTTCAATTTTAAGCTAAGTTCCATAGCTTAAAATCGTTGAATTATGTTTCTTTGTAGTTTATCCTATCCTAAAGTATTCTAAAACTGTACGGGCTGTTGATACATGGGTTTTTTTTCTGTGTCCACTTCTTAATTCGAAACGGATAATACACATGTTTGTTCAACATTCTATTCTAGGGAGCTTCTCTAGAGATCCTTACTGCATCTCAAAGACCAGTATTCATTATCACACTGTCGTGATGGAATACTTACGGTGTTCGAATTCGTGACTCACTGGTTGAAAGTCAACTCCCTAAAACAATGAGACACAGTTCTACTCAAGTAGTGCTGAATTTTAGTTGTGTATTCTGAGGTAGATTAAGTGGTTTAATTACTGAGCGACACTATTGCCCAATACCAGCACAATTTGGATATTTTGGAATGTGTCAACTTCTGCATAGAGAACTATTTGATATCTAGAGTGGACAGAATAATCAGAAAGATGACCATTTCGTATCAAGGTAGTATAGGATGGAGGATAATCGTGTTAGCATAACATCTATGATTTATTCCCTTTTTCCTATTTATATCTTCACATGATAAATAACAGTACGTAGAGCTAACGCAAAACTACTTCAGGATCGTGTATTTCACAAATAAATTATTTAGAGGTAGTATCCATCATGGACCGACATCAGTTGGGGAACCATTAAAGTCTGAGAGCACTAGACAGCTGAAGACCTCGGGTGATAGTCGCGCTATATTGTGAATTGACAGAAGTTAGAAATTGTGAACCATTGAAAACCGATGCAGTGGCGGAATGGTTAATGCGTTCGCCGTGAAACCTGAAGGTCCTGAGTTTGATCCCTAGCCGGGTCGCGGGTGCGTATTCCCGTGGAGTCCCATACTAGGGCGAAACAGCTATCCAGTGCTCCCAGATTTTCAATGGTTGCCCAACTGATGTCAGTACATGATGAATACTACCAATAAAATTAAAAATCTTAATTCATCTCAAAAATAAATTATTGTTTTTGACCTATGAAAGAGAATAGCACCTCAAAACATCTCAGGAACAATTGAAATGTTATAATAATAATAATAAGTAGAGTTCCATTGTTCGTGAGAAAGATACTATGAGATACATAAAAACATGAAGTAAAACAATGTAAGTAATTCAGTGCAAAGAAATGGAATACCAACCTATAGAGATGCTAGCAATCAACATTAAATTCAAAGAGAGAATGACGTCATTAACCACCAGTAAGTTCCCTTTCCATACCACTCCCTTAATTACGCTATCCAACAAGTATAGAACGGATTTGAACGATACACTGATTAGTTAAAATTTTAGTAAATTTGTTTTGCTAAGAGGGATTACTTGAACAAAACCACATTGTTGTTTAGGGATAAAACAAAATTACTTGGAGCAATAATACTAGGTGGTATACAACTCGCTTTTGCACTAATACTTTTACATGGAAAAAGAAAGTATTTAACGATAATTCATGACTTTGATAAGTAACAAGTAAGCAGGAATGCAGAAACATTAATAAATTAATCCAACAGCATGTAGTTAGTTGACTGCGAATATGCATCCTCTGAATCACTTGACATTATTAACAAGGTCAAATAAAACCTGACCAAAGATGCATGCATACACATACTTTGCATAAACGATGCTTTGGTGATAGATATATAACCTTAAATCGGAATGTGTATAATTCCCTTCACTGCCATGCACCTAGTTTATTATCTTGACCAGGTGTTCCGTAAACTGGTTCTTCTTTAGTAATTATAAGTGTAGAACTCGGGCCGCAACCCAAAAAAAAGAATAAAGGGGAATAGTAGAGAAGAATAGGCAAGATGCAGGCGTTCACAGAACACGAGAGAGAGGAGGGGCTGGGCTGAGTGATACCAGATACTGTCTGTCTGCTCCCCAATATGCAAAGTTAGGTGGAAGATTATTTTGCAAATTAGTGATATATGGTAGGACTAGGAAAGTTCTGAGGAAATATGCACACCGAGATAAATCACACTTGTGACATTCTCCAATGCACAATTATGAATGGAACAGGAATCATACGAACTGAGTAGTTCACATAGGTGATATTCACATCTAAAACTGAAGTTTATTGTCTGACATTTTCATCCATTTGATTTATAACACAGTAATACAGCATTATTGATTTGATGACGTTTCCAGCATTAAATTATTCCTCATAATCATATCAATGTAATCATACGACTTTCGACATCTAATATTTAAAGTCTCGTCACCTCTTATTCTTTGTGTTTATTGGTAGTAAAGCTTTCCATATCTCTGGTACAGTTGTTGTCTCATTCCTACTACATGCGTTGCGTGTTGATTCGATGAATAAAGATTCAGCAGTCTCCCTCTCTCCCTCTCACTCCCTTTCCACCTAGGTATATTGAACTGACTACAGTACAGTGGTTTTATCCCACCCACCTTATTGTGTGGTTGTGTGTTAATGAATGCATTCCAATAATCTAGTGTTTTTCTACACTACTGATCTTATTCGGGTCTGTCATTTTATATTTAGTTAAATTCCTATGTTCCCGTAATCTAACTGACCACGACTGACTAGTTTCACCTATGTACTTGACCTCACAGTCATTCCATGCAATCCGGTAGATTAGATTATTTTGCTGAATTGGATCTATCGGACTGCTAAGCCAGCAAAGCTTATCTGTGAGTTTGTAGGTTTAAGTGCCACTCTAATTCTAGCTTTGTTGAGCATCCTACGTAAAGTTTCTGATGTTCTTTCTTTATATGGTAACATAATAGAGGCTTTGAACTTATTTCTACTCGTGTTGTCGCCAGTATTCGTATTCGTGTTACTGTCATTATTTTGCTTCTTATGTTTCCTTACGATTTTCTTAATAAATTGTGGACGATAATAATAATAATAAGCACTTTTGGAATTCGAAAAGTGAATAACCACCAAATATGTAGTGAAATGTTATGCTATGAAAAGGTAACTTACCACTAAAACTCGCCTCTTGATGTAAACTCGTAACAGAGTAAGTAAAATACCTAAGAATACAGCATGAAATACTTGGATAGGATTTATAGCAATGAGGATACGACGTGCGAAGGCGAAAGATGATGATGGATATCGTGACCAATTGAAACCTAGCTCTTTGAAAGCAATCCATGCTTTTGATAACATTTCTATATAACCAGGCATTGGATCATCACAATGCTTTAACAAAGATTCTAGGAATTCTGGGGGAAATTCTTTAGGATCTGGATCAGGTAACAGGAATGAAACATCTTCTTTACGAGAAGTATCAGATATTGGATAATACTTTCCAGTTTCTGGGTCAAAAATGGTTGACTGACAGTATATCGCAGAGTAAAAAACAAACAGCAGAAAAAAAATGGACCTCTTTGAGTGAAACATTAATTTTGGTAGTGTGATGTGGAAGAGAACAAATATAGTAGGTTTTTAATTCAAGGAATAGATACAAGCAGTGGATTCAAAACAGCCTAAAATAAAAAATATAAAAATTAATCATGAGTATTATTCGAAAATATTAGCTTAATTTCTATATTAGATGAGTCTATGAACACAAAATAAGCGAAGCGTTCATCGTTACTCTCAAAAAAAAGACGAAACCCATGATGACACCATAACTGTTTACTTATATGCCTCATGACTATTCTCAATCACTTTTACTGAGCAGATGAAGTTTAGGATTTCGATTTTCATGCAAACTTATTCACTGAAATATTAAGAAATATCAAAAAATACACGAGGCAACTACTACACACAACACTTGAGGTGGCTAAAGCTTGAAGTAATTCTAAGTAGTAAAATTAAATTCAAGGAATTAAGCTCATTGCCAGCCCTTTTGTGCTAGATATTTCATCCGCACACATTTTACGCTACACATATTCATACAAAACACAACAATCGATGCACATTTCATATCAAAAGAAGAAGTATTCTATACAAATTCAATCTATGACTTTATATGGAGTAATACACACGCTGGAAGATGGCTATCAGTTCAATAAATTGATGATTAAAACACTCCAAGTATCAAACACATGCTAATTGGAAATTTGTTTGTAAAACGTTTACGCTATTAAATAGAATAATTATAAAAAAACCATCCACTCATGAAAACAATAATCATAGGACAAGAGGTGCCTCTCGTATCCCAGTGGATAAGGCTTTGGCGTTAGAAGCAATGGGTACTAGGTTCGAGTCTCAGTGGGAACAACATCACTCATTGGGGTTGTAGGTACATTCAACTGAGAATTCACAAACAGGACGAAACGCACGTTCTAGATTTCATTGTTATCCACCAAGCAGACTACAACGTATACAAAATAGAACCACATTTAACCATTATTGTGATTACAGCCAGCTTACTGCACCAAAATATCTAATAAGCAGATGTACAACGTGATCTCGAGTCCATGTACTAGGTGGTGGAAAACAAGTCAATACGTGAATGTGAGCAACAGTGCTCAGATATTCGAAGGGAACTATATTTTAAAGACTTTTCAAAGACTCTACGTTCATTCATTATTCTCTCATCTCCAGTGATTATTTATTTGAAATCAGGAAAAGAAAGGCTATTTTATGGTTTATATTGTAATAAGTTATCGCAAACACGGTTTAAAAAAAATAGCTGGAGGCTGGGATTGGTTACTGTGTTAGAATAGAATCTAGAAAAAAAGACAAAAATGGATCACCTCAATGATGTCACTTTCTTTAATCTGCATAGTTTGGTCGTTGAGCTTGCATACCCACTATCAAGTATTAACTTCATTATTTTAGTAGCTAGTTTAAACTAGGCTGCATATGGTTGTTTGTTTCGTTTAGTCAATACAAGAAAGGTCACCCTAGCAAATGTTGAAGTAACCAATCAGGTTTCAGTATTTCAGTTAAGAAGTTAGTTTCCCAAAGCATAAATAAACCTAACTGGTTATTTCAGAAGTTGCTGGAGCGGCCTTTAAAGTCATTCAGTCAATAGTCACACAAATTTTCATACTGGTCGTTAGTCTGTCTTGACCTCTGACCTTGTAGTTATTTTTCTTATTGGTTGTTAAGTTGAATTTAAGTCTTTACATTTATTGTTTGGTGATTGACTTAAAAATAAAGCTCCTGAGAATTATTTTGTATTCTTTGGATTTCTTCTGCCCATGATTTTTTGCATTTTCAAAATCAATTTCATGTTCACAATTGTTCATATGCATAAATAGATGCATAAATATGTCGTGACGCTAAATTGCTAATCGATTTTCACATAGACGGAAAAAACTTTACGTAGATTAATGTTTACTGCAGTTGATTTGTAAGTAATATCCAGCTGTATCCTTTGGTTTGCATACTACAGCTCGGGGAGAATTCGTGAGTTTGTGAGGTACAGCAATTCCAAATCGGCTTGGTAGTCTTATTGTAGTATGCAGCAGAACAAACCGTTTTTGGCCTTCATGGATGACTTTGTAGTTGGTGAAATGTTTTCTGATAAAGATGTTAGGTAGTCGTCCTACTACATGGCAGTCACCAAATGATTTCCTTCATTCTTTCGTGAAGCGTAGCTGAAGATCTGTTCAGTAAGTTAAATCTCCATATAGTTAAGTCTTCGGGTTTCTCGTATTAGTTCTACCGACTAAACCATCAAGAAATGGCTACGTTTGTTTGATTCCTCAAATAGAGAGACGGACAAACCAATGTAGAATCTCACTCAGAAGTGCATCGGTACAAGTAGCCATACTTCATAACAGCAACCGAAGAATAAGTGGACAGAATAAAAGGAATGACACCAAAGTAGACAAAAGTGTGTGGGAGGAGAAAGAGTGAAAAACAAAAAATTTACTGAAGATGTTCAAACTTTCGGAGATGTAAAAGAGTGAATAAATCTGTAACAATGTAACCAATTTCTAGCCATGTCACCAAAATCCCATAATCACTGATTCTTGTTATCTCGAGGACCCCAAAGTCTGGCAGTTTACACCTCCTGACATGACTTAGACCAGTAATCAAAGAATACATGGAGAGTTCGACTCTTTCTCTATTGTGAAATTGGTATCATCAAAAAGGTTGTGGTCAAATTTTAAATGCTTCTCAACTTGTCCCTCAATGATAAAAAAGTGTTGTCCCTATGATGAATCCAAATTTTCGGTCTGATCACTAGTGAAACAACGGCTTCAAGGCTGTATTGTCACTGCAGCGAATCCAGATATCCTTGATACTAACAGCGTTTCGTTTGCCGGTTTCTATATTTTATGACTGAATTGAAAATGTTGTTAGAAAACAACCAATGCATTCATTCAGACCTGAATAACGGGATTTCATGCTTCCCAAAAGCCTTATGTCTTCAGTGATGATAAGAAATATGGTATTGTTCGACAAGTAGGCATAAGAAACGGCAGTGACTGGGCACCAGGTATAAATATAAGCACGAATTCAACCGATGGCCATCACTTTTCTTTTGAAATATCCTACTGTACACAAAGAAAGTATAAAAACCTTGACATAACTGTTACGGTCACATCAAATTGCGGCACCGTTGGTAAAACTGCGATTGAGTTAAAAGAAAAAAGGTGAGAGATACTTCCAAATTTGTCCGGAAACAAAACAGTTTTTAAGAGGCATTACATATGACAAGCCTATATCTAACTTTTACCCATGACCATAAAAATGTATAACCCGCTAGACTAAACAACGATATAATCTACTACAGCACTAAATGTATAGACAAAATTCTAAAAATCACTCAAGTCGTCAGAATACACAATTTTCATAAACAAAACATCCGAAAAACAATACACAACTAAATAAAGCTTAAAAGTCAACAAATGACAAACACGTCGATGCGACATAATATTAATGGTTCAATTAGTGGACTTCGACAAAGGACCCTGAACTACTGTCTAACAACCAAATTTGTCATTATTTCTTCCTACTATTTGCCCCTGAGATCCTAGCGGAATACACGAATTCTGCAGCACGTCTCAATTTCACTCTCTTCTCTCCAGTATTTTGAACCTGGCTCCACCACTGCCCACAGGCTCTCATTCCTTCCTCACACCATCTCCACTATGTCACCCTTGCCTCGGACACCCAACTGGTAGTTTCCCATTTCGGCTCCACTCAACCGTATGGCCTGGCCTGGACTCCACACTGATTTCAGATTAATGCAGGAAGGTCTGCAGTGACCTGGTTATTTGATATATTGTTATCAGGTCTCTCTCACATGCAACTTGTTCTGCTTCACTTGCCAGTGTGTCTGTTGTAGATGTGTCTTTTGTCTCTGCGTCTACCCTTCTTCACTTCTCTGTCCAGTGTAGTGTTTTATAGGTTGCACTCACTTCCTCTCTTACTTGTTCATTACTGCACTGCACGGCACGGCACAGCACTGCACTGGTTCATCTTATACTTCACCTTCAACATGATCATCACCATCTCACTTCACCTCTCCCTCTTCTATCAACTTCCATGTGTCCGTCGAGATCCATCCCTTCACTTGTCCTGCTTCTCCTTCCTTCCTGACAAGGTCATTCAGGTTTCCTTCCACATCTCACTCAAAGACTTGCAGTGTTCTTCCACACAGGTCTCCGTCTCCTCACGGATAGTCCTCAATCTCTCCCATTTTTACCTCATGGCTCACTGACTGACTGACTGACTGATTGACTGACTCACATGAACATGTCCTTCCTAGTTTCGTTCTTCAGTTCAGTCACCCTTCTCGGTGGGCGTTCAACTTCAAATTCAACTGTTGTCTCTCATCACCAACTTCTTTCAATTGAAGGCTTTCAACTTGATTTCAATGGTAGGTTCCTTCCACTAGATAGTGGTGTGTGTGAGTGGTCTCAACCTACATCTGCTCCCCTTCCCCACGTTGTGTCCACTACACTGCGTCTCCATCACCACTTTCTTCACATCCACATGAAGTCGATCTGATTTCTAGCATGTCCATCTGCTGAAATCAAATCCATGTTACTTTGTGAATATCATCGTGTTTGGACACACTACCTCCAATCACCAAATCGTTGAATGCTCACAAGTCTGCAAACAGTTCTCCATTCTCCATTCTCTTCATCATTTCACCGAATGCCTCTCGCACCATGATTGGTTCTCTTCCTGTCTTCTCTACTCCCAGTTTGCCATTCATCTCATCCCACTCATTAGAATGTTCATGTCACCATCACCATCACCGTCGCTGTCTGGGGTCTTGTCCATTACTGATTCAAGTTGTCTATACAATCCCTCATTCTTCTCTTCATATCCATCATTTGTAGGTGCGTAGCACAGCACAGCATAGTATAGCATAGCATAGCGTTGTATTATTGTAACTTTCCTTCCTTTGGATTTGAAACTTGACGTCATGATCCTGATCCTGGTGCAGGAGCAGATTGCTTCCCATTGCATCCATCACACAGAGTCTTCGAGGCTCTCTCTTCAAAGGGACATCATGATAGCCACTCGAAATCTCAGTGTTCTGTGCTCGTCGTTGTCGTGCCGTGTCGTGTCGTCTGGGTGACAATATCGGAGTAGATTAGATTATTGACTCCTCTCCAGTTGACAGTTTGGAGAGTCCACTTCCATTCCATTTGCAGATTCCCAGCCTAGCACTTCCATGCTTTACATTTTCATCTCTTTGGAAATCTGAGCAACCTTGCCAGCCAGCCAGCCAGCTTCAAACATTGTGTGGACATTTCATATCCCCATGTTTGTTTACTTATCCTTTCATGGAGAGAAGTGTAAACACTTGGTTCAACTCGCTTCCCGAAGGCTTTCACCAACCGGCGTCATTTCGTCTCTCCAATTCCAGCGAGGAATAAGTTTGATTTTATTTTTTATATTTTCTCTCTGCTTTGAAGTTTCTTTAGGGATTGGAATTGTTTACCGGGTAGGGTCGGTAGCTGTATGCCCAACTTTTCTTGTTTATCCGGGCTTAGGACCGGCTAGTAACTAGTGGACTAGTTACTTAGGCATGGTCAAATTTGTCATGGCTTACACCAAAATGAAAGATTAAGAAACTAAGGAAAAAGTGTTATCACAAATGGTGGAAATTAATAAGGGATGTAAAACATAAAACAAAGAGGTGAAGAGTTACAGTATGCTACATTATATAAAGTAAAAATAACAGATGAATGCATTCGTGTCATTGTGGTCGACTCCAGGCTAAATTGCCCCAGGTCTTCAACCACCCATTATAGGTTGTTTTGCAGAACTCAACTAGAAGATTTACAATTCCCTACACGGTTCAAACCAACAGTAAGGGACCTCATGGACTGATGAGATCTTTCAATTTGGTAGTCCTCTTTCCTAACCTTCAGCTGACATTGTTTTTCGGGCTAAACGGAGCCTTGGCACAAGCAACACATGTTGCAGCCACCCTATGAACTGACTTGCATCTTCCCTTTACCTTAACGCACCTGGAATCTGTATTACTCACCTGGCAGCCTTACCATAGACGACTGATGCCACAAAGTTAAACATAGTCAATCACCTGGTACCCTTTCGCACCCGATAGTTATAATTTAACAATCTGCACTTTGGGGATGGGGTAGTCAGAAATGCATCCGAAGTATTCGTATATTTTCACTCAAGATGCTCAGAGGACTGCAATTTACCAGTGTCTTTATCTAACAGGAATACGTCACCTCCATACTCCAGGTCAAATAAAGAAGAGGAGAGGTAGACCCCCATATCTAGGACAAAACTAAATAAAGTTACAGGAAAGGGGAGTTTTTGCTGGACATCAGTTAACGCTGACAATCTACCTGATAACTCACCATAAGCTTTAGCAATACTACGGTTGTTCAAGTAAAAAAACCACCGGTATGGGGATGTACTTCTTGGCATCACTTTCAGTGACATACTAACATAGAACTTCTCGATCCACGGGATTAAATGCCACCTTCAGATTAAGCGATATATGGGGTGCTAGGCACTGGTAAGTTTATGCCTCAAGACCCTGCCGATACACCCATAACCAGTTCTGAAAATCGCCTGCTTTCCTCAGGTTCGCAGTTCCTGAGCTACAGCTAGGAGATGACTCATCAGTAAACCGAGATATTATGTTCATCGGCAAGATTTCTCGGTGCCTATAACAAGGTGATCCCCTCACCTTTATTGAATGACAATCAACGAATAACACTAGTTAAAAGGTATCTCAACTGAGCTTACTGGATCAACATAGAAACAAGTATAATATTGTACTGAACTACGATTTCACACCTTTTTAGACAATGGAAAGTCGTTTGACAAAAAGCCTCCAAAAACAAAAAGAGGCGGCAGAGAATAAGATGGAGTAGAACGCTTACGTTTGCTTTTAAAACTACATAAACGCTGAGTGTAACTGCCTAGGTCTTGTTGGTTTGCAGCCAAATCATCAACCAAGAATTCTGATACCTTGCAGACTTCAACCAGTGACACAACGGTTACATACAGCCAATAAATTCATGAATACAGGTTACCTTAACCTAGTGATCCCAAAGCTTCCATGAATAGGTGGGAAATCCCTCAGGATAGTTGACATATGGTCCAATCATTTCAACTGATGCAGGTTCAAAATCACACCAGGTGACTGCCTTCCATGAAAGATATTACTGCCGTATTTCTGCACCACCCACTCAGTAGTCCCACTGCGTGTAATGGTGCAAAAACATCAGTGATAAAGTAGCCACATTCAATGCCTCACCACCCTAGCTCTTAGCTGTGTAGGAGTCCACTGCATTGTCGAACTGTGTACTGAATTCTAGATGGTCGGTGGATAGACTGTAAATTCGACAAGTGCTATGAACAGACAAATGCTAATCGACATTTCTGTGCCCTCATCAAAAACCAACTACTCATCAGGGATCATACAGACACTTACCTAACTGGAACGATATTGAAAACGGTTATAAGTGAAGATTGACAGTTGAGTATACGTTTGTGTTATTGACATGGAAAACAGACTTACATACATTGGTAAGAAGTCATTGAGTGCCTTGCGACCTTCGTACTTAACCTCAATGAATTGTACAGTTTTAGCTATATGATATTTATTCATATAATTTTGAGTTCCATTCACGGTATACAGATGACTATTTATGCTTGATTAAGTAGTACAATTGAATATACAATTGAGACGATCAATTCTTCAGTCTTCTTTATTACACCTTAGTTTAGGTTTCGGAGATAGTTATAGATCGAATACAATCAGTCAGGTGATTGCTTCGTCTTTGCGAGCACTAATCACTTGACCAAGCCACGATATTTTGCACCCATTTTCACTCTTTCACCTATGATATCACCTTCCCGTAATTCATAGTTCGACAGGTAGAAAAAGAACTCCAGTCACCTGGTAGTTTTCACTTAGCAAACACATACTAGACAGTTCGAAAACGAATCACAGACCAGGACATTGCGTCACAGCTTCTTGGGGTGGCGCTGAGAAACCTTATGATTGGTACATTTAGTCCCACGAATAACACAATCACACTTTTTAATTTCAAACAATATATATTGTAAGTAACATTAAATAAATGAAGGGGTTGTGTACCTACTATGTGGGAGTTGATGACACTACTTGATCAAGTGAACCGAATTTCATGGGATAGATTGCAGCGCCAAATATTATTAGATGAAATTAGTCGAGTGCCTAAACCAGCAAGTCATAAGTTCAGTCAAGCATGCACCGGCTATATAAAAATAATCTACTATAAAACACATTGCCGAAAAAAACACCGCAAGAATTACCAAATCATTGTGAATAGTTAGGACAATAATGAATGTTCGATAGAACTCTAGGCGTAAACACAGCATAAAACATACAAACAGAAACATTTAGAAGTGAAAGGAGATAAGACATTTTTATTCTCTTTCTCGTAAACAAAACAATAGTGATTCGAAAACATGCTAGAGCCACATTGAAAGTCATAAGATATAACAATAAGAGGGGGATAAAAATAAATACGTAGAAATGGAAAGTGGAATATAGTAAATGCATTTACATGTGTACATGGCCCTCATGAGAACAATTACAGTAGTAAGGGAAAATAAAACTAATACAGAACTATGGTGAAAGACAAGAATTTTTTTCTAGTTCCAAAAAAGCATTGCTTCGGCATTTGTAGGATCATGTATTAGGCATGATTCACTGTTAACCTCCGGACTAGTCCATCTATAGCCTACAAGCTCTGGTTCAAGTTGACAGATAGCTTTGTTATGAAAAGCTGCTTCATTGGAAACTGTATGATCATTTGTTGACACATTTTTAGACAAAACATTTCTTCGTACGCGTCTATCAGATAGTCTGGGTACCGAATCATCAGTTGGAGAAGATAATGGTGACTGAGGAGTAGGTGATACACTTTGAGTTTCTGTAAGCAATGCTAAATAGGCACGTCGCCTTGAACGCCAATTTTTTCTAAATACAGGTTTATCATCTCGTTCCCAAGGATGCAAAAATGGATGATAATCTGAAAGCACTGGAAAACTTGAGGATTTGCAAACTACCTTTTGATGACTTGAACGCTGGCATACCGATGAATGACTAACCTGAATTTTGACATTATTGTCTAACATAGGGGTACCAAATTTTTTCCTCGATAACCAACGTTTGTCATGATTTGATGGTTGGAGCAGGGATGAGAGATCTGAGATCAAAGAAGAGTTTATCTCCCTTTGTTTTGTGTTACGTTAATACCAACTGCAGCTGTCATATCAATCAAGTGATGAACATTAATAAAACGTCCTAACGAACTTGAGCAAACTTCACAATTCGATAAGAAACGTGTAGATGCAGAATCGGCTATTGTATGAGATCTAACTGTCTTTTTGATGCATTTATTTGTAGGAGGCTCAGTGTCCAGAGTTGATAAAGATTGTTTAGAATCTGAAGATTTATCATTGTCCAGTAGAAAACGACCTGAAAATTCTTCATTTGAAATATTTTTTGTTTGAGTTACCTATATTCACACAGCATAAAAAGATGAAAAATAAACACAATTTAGGTATTTAAAGTGATGATTTTACGGGTTTGAGAAGAGAACTAATTTGATATGCTGGAGAGATAAAAAAAAAGGATTCTGTGGTAGCCACTTCATCTTATTTGAAGAATACAATGCTTTTGTGCGGGCACCAGGTGTATCAAGCCAATCGACCCTAAGAGGATTAATGAGAAAGTCAAAATACTGACTCTTAGGGATGATGAGCTAGTGAACCAATTTTGTGTTGAGTAGGTGAAGCAGCTCAAAGTAACGTAAACAATTTCTCGATTGGTGAAAAACCCAGTTGGGTACTGAATGAAATGCACGTCATAGCTAACCCACAAGGTTGGATAGGATGAATTTCGCTACAGATTCCCATCCTATAACCTTTAATTTACGACACGTTAGTTATGGGTAAGGATAATCGTTTGCGGCTTAGCAAAGGCGAATCCGATAGGTTTTTATTCCGGTCAACAAAATTTATTTCCTTTAAGCACAAACTCGATAAAATGTGTATAAAGAAGTCCCCATATAAAATAACAAAGACATATATGAAGAAAGATAAGTAGTGAGTATCGAAGAGCTTCATACTATAACACTAGGGAAATTTCGACTACTTCTATGATCCAGTTCAAAAGTAGGAGATACCATGACGTAACTTGATGGTCATGTGTAATGGGCAATGAACCACATCTAATGTGAGGGGTAACTATGTTGCCTAGCTGTTCAACCCTAGGAGATTGAGGAAGTCTTAAAGCTGCGATCAGCTTGTCGGAAAATCAAATGTCTAAACTATGTGGTCGTAGCTATACAAATAAAGAAAATAAAGAGGCTATAGTATGCTTACCGTTGGTTTTAATTCTGAAATTTACCTGATGGTGTCTAAAGCTGGTGAATCACATGACCTCTTGGAGATGTGACACTAACACACTACGACTATCCTTCATCTTACAGCGATGTCATAAAATAATCACCTCATTACTAAAGTGTACGTTCTCGCTTACTGAATGATATCAGATACACCTAATCCTTGGAGTTACGCACTTGTTAGTGCTATGTGATACGAGCAATCCGAAGATAATAGTGGCCAAACACAAAAACCCGTCGGAAATCCATTCTGCAACACGAGATTCCCCATATGTGTAAAACAAAACGAGGTATTCTGCTTGTAATAATTCTTCAAGATCCTAACATATCGGAAAGTTTTGTTGGATAGCAGCAAGGCTAAAGGCATTTACCATAGTAGTGTAAACAGATTACGCTATACTGTGGGTCTGGTAAAGTAGTACTGTTGACTGTACGGGGAGTACCAAACCAAAGACGGACATCAGTCAGTTCGTGCTATTGCTGCCTTCCATTAGTTATCGCTGGAGGTGGTTGGAGGTAGATTATCGCTCCATCAGGAACATGTGCTTGAACAGCAAGTACGTGTTGTGAGTAGGAGGTCCTACAATCATCAGAGCTTTATGAACAACAAACTCGACAAAATGATGCAAGTTTCTGATGTGGCCGTAGGTGAATTGATCGGACCTTCACCCGCTATCAGATCTTGGGACAAAAACCATATTTACTGGTACACGAAACTACTTGTATTTCAGAGCCTGAAGGTTGAATTCGACTTCGTCGATTAACAGGGAAAGAACATCACTTTGCTGAAGGCGCCATATTTGAATTTACGTACAAATGTTAGGGTCCGTGATGATATCCGCATGTTGTGTGTTGTGTGTGAAGAGTGAACGAATTACAGGTTGAGATTAGTATGTAAACATCTGATGAGTTTTTATCGCATTTATGTTGGTTATATCAGTATGTAGGTGTGGGTTTAGACCAGGTCAAACTACGTTTTATTCCTTCATCCCTATTTAGAAACGTTTGACTCCACCCTGCGTTAAGATATTCTGCTATGAGACTTTTTTTTATTTCTAAAGCCTTTCTGAATAATTTCGACTTTCGATTTGGAGGCTTGTGGGGATTTTACTGAATTCAAGTTAGTATTCATCATGGACTGACATCAGTGCTAATCTAGTGCTCACTGGTGAATATCTTCGAGAATCGGTCCCCAAAGTTTATGTGGGAGGTCATGACCGATGAGGGCCACCAAGTAGAGCTTGGGGATAGGGACTCAACAACGGAACTGGATGGAGGTGGCGCTATATCGTGAACTGATAGGAGCAATAAATATGGACCAGTGGACTACCATCACCCAGTGGCTTAACACAACGTGCTGATCGTGGGACCTGGAGACCCTGGGTTCGACCCCTGACAGGGCGGGGTCATGGGCGCGTGCTATTCAATGTGCTTGATGTCCTATCGAACACTCAGATATTGAATTCTTGGAGTGCTCTCCTGATTTTATCCGATGTATGTGGTGTGTACAGGATAACTATGGCTGAGTCCGAGTACTACTTGATTGTTGAGTGTCTAGGTTTTTCCAAGATATTTATTTATATATCCTAGGGCATTTTTGTCTTCTAGCAGGTTTTTTGTATAGTTTGCGTTTTCTTCCTACGTCCATAATGTTATACCTAGCCCATGTTCGCCAATCATACCGCATACTCATTTGTCTTGTACCTCCGAAGCTCAAAATTCCGACGCACGTGCCCTCTACTATCTAGCTTCCTACCTTCCGAGGACACAGACTTTCAGCCTGGTTCGCTTACGTGGAAGCGCGGTTCGCCCTTGAGAGAATTACCTCATAAGAGACCAAGGCAAACTTGGTAACTGTCAGCCTCCCCGAGAACATTGTGGAGATTTCAGATGTGCTTGATGACACTGCTCCAAATATTCATGACCGTCTCAAGCAGGTCCTCACCAAACGTGTAGCTCTGACTGACCAGCATATGGTACATGAATTTTTTCGCGATGTTCAGCTGGGCGATTATAAGCCTGTGCAATTTCTGCGACAGATGAGATTTCAAGACCGACAATATCTTTCTCAAAACACTGTAGCTTCAACCCCTTCCACAGTCAGTTTAAGGCATTCTTACACCTCTCTATCAGTCTCCACGGCTGTAATTGGATAAGGCTGTGGAAAGTAGTTGAAGCAACGCGACCGCAACCTGGAGTGGTAGTAGCTATCGGTACGACCACTGGGTCCAGCCTTAATGCAGATGTATGCCCCGTCAAGCACCTCTTCAGATTTCGACCCTGTTTCTTATATTACTAAATTGTATGAAGTGCTCTGAAGCAACCGCAAGGAGATGCAGGGACATCGATTACCACACAATCATGTTTCTCACCTGCCCGATCTGACACGAAACATCATCCCATCAGATCGCAACTAAAAGACTCTCAAACTGGAGTTTGTTGGTGTCGCAGACGCTATGGCGCTAACGCGAAGTCTACTAAACTGCATACTTTTGACTCCGAGTACGTGTAAGCCAACATGTGACGGTGACTAACGTCGCTGGCGAACTCCTAGCCTGTCATCTCTTCTGCGTAACTGGTCGCCGTCCAGGAATACACTTCCTCGTAGATAGCGAGGAAGAAGTTATTGGCAGGTACAGGGGAGTACAAGTTGATCGATTCTACCACACTGTTTCCGGTGCTGTCACCAGTACCCTCTCCGTGAGACTGGTGCATTTGAACCCTGACATTCCCCAATCATAAGCTGCCAATGTCCAGTCATTTCCAAACCAACAGCTGGCGTACCTTGATAATGTCTAACATATCGCACCACAAAACGACAACCAGCCAACCAGTTTCCTTCAAACCGCGATGTTTATCCCAAGATAAACTGCGAGCCATCAAGAGTGAGTTCGAACATATGCTGAAAATGGGTATCACGAGACTCTTCAGTAGCTCATTCTCTTCTCCTTTTCAAGTAGTCTCGAAGAAAAATGGTACAGATTGGCGACCTTAAGGTGACCATCGGCAACTCAACACCAAAACGGTCCCAGATCGTTACCCATTGCCTCACATGCACGACTTGACTACTACTTTGAAAAGTGAGACGGTCTTCAGCAAACTTGACCAGACATGTGCTTATCACCAAATACCCATACATCTGGACGACATACCGAAGACGGCAGTCATTACACCATCAGCCTGTTTGGATTTCTCTGCAAGCTTTTAGACTAAATGCTGCACAAACCTTCCAGTGTTTGCTTCACGACGGCTTGTGTGGTTTAGATATTGCTTATGCCTACCTGGACGATGTCCTTCTCGCGAGTGCAGAAGAGGATAGCCATCGCACTCACTTGTAGCAATTTTTTCGCAAGAGTTGCAAAACACTCAGTTACTGTTTATGCCAAGTGCCAGCTTGGTGTCCGTTCACCGACCTTCCTTGGTCGCGTCCAACGACAAGCATGCCATTTGCAAACTACCTGAAAAGGCACAGGTGATTCAACATCATTTAAAGCACTGTGTACGTTTCTGGGAATGGCAAGCCACTAACGCCGTTTTACCCCCCAGTGTGCGCTAGCCAACCTGCGGAAGGAAAGTTTAAGACTCTCAGTATGACTTGAGGCATTGGAAGCATTTCGCAAGATCAAAACAGCGATAGATGTCACAATACTGGTCTATCAGAATACAAACCTTCTTAGCATTGCTGTTGGTGCCTCTAACACAGTCACTTGAGCTGTGTTACAATCTTTCGACAACACACAGATTCCATTTGCATTCATCTCTCCGGAGCCGATATGCATGCGAAATGCGGTACAGCACCTTTGGTGGCGGACTCCTTGCCAAATACCCCGTAGTCAAGCGTTTTCATCACTGTCTGCAAGGTCGTGACTTCATCATATTTATCGACCAAAAACCTCTCACTTCCCCCGTAAATACCACCACAGAAAGCTATATATCACGTAAACTACGGCATCTGCACAACCTTTCAAAACTAACATCACACTTCGGACACATTTCTCCGGTGAACAACAGCGTAACAGAAGCACTGCATAGTGTTTTCACCACGAATTAATCTCACATCAGCGTATTATAGATTATTACTATTATTTTGTCCTTCAGGTTTCCAGTAGAACAAAGGGCTTCAGCAGCGTCTCCATCCCACTCTGTTCTCCGCAATCTTTTGAACCTGACTCCACGACTGCCCACAAGCTCTCATTTCTTCCTCACACCATCTCCTCCATGTCACCTTTGCCTCAGACACACAACTCGCCGTTTCCCATCTGGGTTCCACTCGAGCGACTGACCTGGCACGTGATGTCCCCAATCAGTCTTCTCAGTGTATGCTCGATCCAATCCATCTCCACTTCCTTCCACTGCATACTTGTTGAGAGATAGGTTCTTGGTTGGTTCGTTTCCAGACAGAGTGACTTCCTTCTTGCTTATTCTTTATGGTAATCCATCTGAGTTTCAGTGTTAGTAACGAGCCAGCCAGCGTAGACAGTTGTTGATGAATATTTGTAGTTTGTTGGAAATGTCTTTCGTAACGTGCAAAGTCTCCCAACCATCCATCACATAGAAGCACTGCTTTACTTGACTGGATTAGTGTTGGAAATCCTTATCTTGTCCACACATGCATTATGCTGAGTGCAATGCAGTGTGATGCAGTGCAGAAGATCTCCACACTGGTTTCAGGTTAATGCAGGAAGGCCTGTCTTGCTTTTCCGATCCTGGACTCTTTGACATCCTCGTCTGTGCCTGTACCACAGACTGTAGTTGAAACGATGCTGCCTTGCCTAGATAGGTGAAGGAGGCTACTTCCTTTAAGTTTCTCCCGTTGATGGTGATTGGAGTTTGTTGTTGTTGTTGTTGTTGTTGTTGGTTGGGTATCTTCATCACCTCTACCTCTGTCTTCTCTACGTTCACTTGAAGTCCCGTCTTCCTTCGCTGCCCTGACTCTTCTGTCAACTTGCTGGATTTATCTATAGATCTTCGAGTTTGTGCGATATTAGACACAAGTCATCGTCGGCGAAATCCAAATCTAGGATCTCTTCCTCGGTCCAGCCAGCGCATACCCCTCTTCTCGCTCCTTACTGTTTGTTGCATGATCCAGTCGACCACAATCAAGAAGATGATCGGTGACTGTAGGCAGCCTTGTCTTACTTGTGTCTTCACTTCAGAAGCATCACTGAGTTTCCCACTGTGAATTACTTGGCTGGCATGTCGCGTCTTCATATATTTGTGAAATGAGGTTGGTAAAAGTTTGTGGTATAGCGTAGTGTTAAAGCAGCTGCCCGCCATATTACCTCTCGGTGGACGCTGTCAAAGGCCATGTTGATGCTGAGAGTGAAACTTTCTCCACAATTATAGATTCGACAATCATATGACGTTTGACTGGATATGAAGAATAGCGAACTGAGATAAGCCGGTAAGTCTCAGTCTTGATCGTGTACCTCCATATCTTGGAACAGATAACATTTCCTGACAATAGCTATACTTTTTGACCGGAATGCACCGATCGTCTTCCTGATTGTGGTCGACTGGATCATGCAACAAACAGTAAGGAGCGAGAAGAGGGGTATGCGCTGGCTGGACCGAGGAAGAGATCCTAGATTTGGATTTCGCCGACGATGACTTGTGTCTAATATCGCACAAACTCGAAGATCTATAGATAAAATCCAGCAAGTTGACAGAAGAGTCAGGGCAGCGAAGGAAGACGGGACTTCAAGTGAACGTAGAGAAGACAGAGGTAGAGGTGATGAAGATACCCAACCAACAACAACAACAACAACAAACTCCAATCACCATCAACGGGAGAAACTTAAAGGAAGTAGCCTCCTTCACCTATCTAGGCAAGGCAGCATCGTTTCAACTACAGTCTGTGGTACAGGCACAGACGAGGATGTCAAAGAGTCCAGGATCGGAAAAGCAAGACAGGCCTTCCTGCATTAACCTGAAACCAGTGTGGAGATCTTCTGCACTCCACTCCACTCCACTGCACTCAGCATAATGCATGTGTGAACAAGATACGGATTTCCAACACTAATCCAGTCAAGTAAAGCAGTGCTTCTATGTGATGGATGGTTGGGAGACTTTGCACGTTACGAAAGACATTTCCAACAAACTACAAATATTCATCAACAACTGTCTACGCTGGCTGGCTCGTTACTAACACTGAAACTCAGATGGATTACCATAAAGAATAAGCAAGAAGGAAGTCACTCTGTCTGGAAACGAACCAACCAAGAACCTATCTCTCAACAAGTATGCAGTGGAAGGAAGTGGAGATGGATTGGATCGAGCATACACTGAGAAGACTGATTGGGGACATCACGTGCCAGGTCAGTCGCTCGAGTGGAACCCAGATGGGAAACGGCGAGTTGTGTGTCTGAGGCAAAGGTGACATGGAGGAGATGGTGTGAGGAAGAAATGAGAGCTTGTGGGCAGTCGTGGAGTCAGGTTGAAAAATTTCAGAGAACAGAGCGCATTGGAGACGTGATACTGGAGCCCTATGTTCCATTAGGAACCCAAGGGACTGATAATAATAATAATAATAATAATAATAATAATAATAATAATAATAATAATAATAATAATAATTGTGCGACATCTCGAAGAAACAAGAAAATGAAGGTTAGAGACTTTATCGACTGAAGTCACTTTTTGGTCCAGCCGCTCTGAACCCCCTTCCAACTGATCCAACTTCCCCAGCATAGCGCGTGGAGGTTGGCGGTGGCCGATCATGGGCAGTACATGTCTAAGGCATCTTCAATCGATGAAGGTTCACAACCTCATCAATCATTCTCACCAGAGATTAATTTTGAGTAATATCACGTAGATCCTGTAAACATAGGTTTCGGTTGTCACGAAGACTAACTGGGACATTTGCATAGTCAGCAGGACTATATAACAGATAACATCGAATTTTTGACTTTTTTAATGCTATATAATGTAAGTCAGCTCGTTACATGTTTGTTTAACAGGCTGAAGTAGATGAAGTAGGATCTGAACCCAAGACCTATTGCCTGAATGCTTGCGCCACATTACAGGACAATATTGCTTAAGGTTTAAACCTAATAGCGATGTTTGTTTACCTACTTCACCTTCATTTGTATTTTTCAGTTTCCTCCCCACTGTATATTGTGGTAGTTTGAACTAATGCATTTTTACTTCACGCGTTAAAATAACCATTTGTAGCCAAACGTAGTCAGAGTAATGAAAGACTCCAGGTTAACAACAGACAACTGTAATTCCTGTAATTTTTATCGTGGTCGAAGGCAATATTAGTTCATCCTACAACATAAAATTCATTTTCTATTAGCAGTCATATCTCGTAGCTCAGTTGGCAGAGCACTGGACTGGGAATTCAGTTGTCACTAGTTTGAACCCTACCGTGGCCTAAATTTTCATTTCACCTTCAATAACCACTCTGTATCAGCACCAGTCTGCCAAACCACGGATATCTCAGATGGTAAAAATGAGGAGCGAATACGCTATAAATTAGATGCCTTTTAAACACGCAAAGTAGTGGAAAACTCCATGAAGAACTTACCGTTACTTGACCATCAATAAATTCTTTTCCAATATCATTTTTTAAGAGATTTTCGTTGTTGACTAGTTGGTTACTATTTCGTAACCGTCTAGAGCGCAAGTTAAAACCAGAAGAGTGTGAATAAGAATGTTTGGATTCTAATGTCGGTAAATTTTCTTTGTCTTCCCTACAGTAACTTTTCTTGAAATCATGTTTCAGTTCAAATTTATTGTTTGATATAGAATCCATAGAGCTGCTAGAAGTGTTATTAGACTTTGCACGGTTTTGTAGCATAGATTGTCACAATATTAAAAGCTCCTTTGGGTTCTGAAAGTCAATTTGTTTGTGAGTATTCAAAAACCGAAACTGTCCCAATACTACAAATGGTTTTTAGCGGCTTCCACTTACTGACATAATCAAAATCCACATCAGAAATTGAACATAGTTCGATCAATGGACACGAATAGTCGACATTTGACCGCCCGATAGTTGATATATCACGACGAAAGTATCGTCAGACCATACGCCAACATGTGGAAATAGTCCCGCCACAATTAGTGTAAACAATCGACTGTTTGAATATTTACGAATCATGTCTCGTGTGTTTGTCTATCCAATCGTGCATTTTAGTCCAATAGAAATGAACTTACTGTGTATCTGTATACAACTAACAGTCTACACAGCTCATTTATTGGTCAAAGGAACGTCAGATGTCCGAGTTAAAGGTTAAGTGTAATGTCTGTTTTTTGTGCACTAAATGTGTTGTGTTCATGTTATGTCCCTGGGGCATTCGTCTGTACCACTATGGCCGCAGAGAGGAAACCTAACGATTTGGCTTAACTGGTCAAAATTATATTGTATAACTGTCTTTTATGTCAAGTAAACGACGAGATTATACTCTCATGCACACTACCCAAGCTTTAACTTGACAGAGTTGGATTCCCCTTGCATATTTTGTCTCCAACGCGAACTTAACTGTAGGCTTGCTAATGCGCTAGTAAAACAAAATTTGGACTACCATAGAGGAAGAGCAGCAGGATAAAAATGAGCCTAAACCCTGAGCCATGTATGCAAATATCAATCACAAGATTCCATTTTAGTCTGCTTATGAGAAATGTGACATAGTGAAACAGAATCATCCAGTATCCAGTAAATAATACTGTTTCACTGTATGACATTCCTAATAAACAGACTAAAATGGAATTACTACCTACTACAGTACTCAATTTTTACTCGTACAGCAATCAAAAGAGTCGATAGGCGAATGGTAAAGTATGGGTTCATCACTGTTTGCGGTAATGTCGCTTTCATTACAGATCAATCATAGTTGCTTGATTAGTATAATGGAGATTTTCGTTTATTTTTGCGATTTGTGTAAATATTGATTTACAGAATAATATATCTCTATGTTACGCCACTGCTTTTTGGTTTTAAGAGCCTAAAGACTGCAGTTTAGTGATAAGTTTGCTTTATATTATAATGTATGTACGTACAAAATCAACGAGGTATTCAGGCCAATAAATAATTACACAACAGAATACAAAGTAATATTCATATTACTGTCATCACTGTTTTAAATGTCTTACAATTTTCTTCTCTGAATGTTAAAGACTGCCCAACCTCTATAAAATTCGCTTAACAAACGTTGGTTATTCTGTTTTTTCGGCTTACAGTCACTGGTGGCATCGTACTCTAGTTTTTGACACATCAACCATTTATTTACTAACGTTCTAATCAGAAGAGAGTGAGTTATTTACTGATTTTTGACGGTCCAAAGCATCAGAATTTCTTGTTTTACCTCTCCTACGTAAAATAATGGGCTTTTTCTTCTTAGATTTAGAGTTATTACAACGAAAGCTGAAAACCGTTTCAAAGATCAGGAAGTTACAGTCATTTTTTTCTTTGAGAGTTAAAAGTTTGGACTTAAGAGTAATTATCAACCGTTAGGTGGTTTTAAAAAGCTGGGATTTAGCTTTTGAGGTCTACTCATCACAAATTAATTTACCAAACAGCAAAAAGCCAGGGAGTATGCCTTCTTTTCTACATCGACAATGAGAACAGTGTATAATTACTGGATTTTTAATGCTTTGTAACCTAACGGGGATTATTAGTCCATTTAAGTATTAGAGTTTAGAGGGCCATAGTTGATAATAGGATGGACACCTCGTTGATGCATCATATGAATTATTAATTCTTCACTCTGGATTTCTCAAACTTCAGAAGGTAAAATGTGCGTAGGAAACGTTACAAACTTGGTAATCAGCTCAAGACTATCTTAGAAAACTTAGTTCCTTTTCATCCTGGTAAAGGCATACTTCAATAATATGATCTGAATATTTATGGGCTCCATATTGCTATGAAACAGATCTAGGTTGCTAACTTAGCAAGTACGATAATATTTCTCAATCCACCATCTTTTAGTTGGGTTATTCCTAAACAGGACCAATCTCTGTCTCTCTGTCTCTCTCTCTCTCTCTCTCTCTGCTTCTAAAGGATACTGTTTCACTTACCAAGTATTGTTTACAAACTTGAAAGAATCTATAAATACCGTGAAAATTGGCATAATAATGTTTACTAAGAGTCTGCATCCATGGATGCTTATTTTTTATGACCAATAATTTGACGTCTAAAGCTTATTTATAGCCTTTACAGGTGTGCTTGTGAAGAGTAGAGTGATTGCACCGCAAATCCTTCATGAACTCAAACATTCGTGAAGTATTAGTGAAGCAACTTTCAGTGTTGATCATTTCAAATTTCTGCGTAAACACATTGATAGTACCTGTTCCTAACGAAACAAACGGAAAAAATGCATCCAGTCACACTTATTGTATGAGGGCCAGCAGCACTACCCGACTGTCAAAACCTCGTTAGGTTTGACGGGTTTCGTACCCATGACCCACTGGTTGATAGTACCTATCCCTACAACATTCAGAGTTAGGGTTAATTACTGTGTATATGAACAGAAGATTCTGATACTTTTAGGATCATTGTCTTTATATCTTCATTTTAGTATCAGAAGGTAGATTATAGAATGACTGGACTTCAACCACGTTTCATTGCATTTTTACTTCCCCACCCCTTCCCCCTCTCTATGATATTCATATCATTTTTTTCTCTAGATTTTAATATAGTTACGATTCTGATGTCTCAGATGGGACTCTTTTTTGCGTATCTCAACGTTTGTTGTAGAAGGTATGCAAAAGATTTCTCCAGGATCGATTGATTACCATCGGTTTGAAATTTACCTCTGAAATATAGTTCTGGAAGAATCGTTTGTAGATCTGCCTTCTAAGAGTATCTGGAACCTGGGATTTCATAAGAGATAAATATATATTAAGTAGCCTGATGGAACTGCAGTGAATAATACTAGGATAGCCTATGCAACAGTTTGTAAGATGGACAGAAGTAGTATAAAACTTCGACACTGTGGTAGAATGTAATTCTATATTTGATTTGTTGATAATGTATCATTTTGTGTTATCCTAAATACACAAATCTAATAGTATGGTAGTCAATAACCGTAGTTAGAGGTAGCCAAGATACTTATGTGATATAAGACTGGTAAAGATACTCAAAACAGTGGAAATCACTCTATTAACTGTTGAGAATGACCATACTGGAACTTGTACGATACTTGAACTGACTTATCGAAGCAATAAGAAATGTTGATAATAGCCAGTGAACAATACTGAAACATTTGAAATATTCTTTTACATTATCACCTTCTTCCCTTACATATTTTATGTTAATACCCTATTATCTTTTTGTTTCTCGTTTGGAAAGTCTGTTCATTGAGTGAACTTATCTACTCATCTGAAACCGGAAAAGGGTCAGAATAAAATCAGCGCAATAACAATAATCCATCTTTGATAGTAATGTCAGATAGTAGATATCTGGAAATTACAAGCCATAGAATCAGTAGCTACCTATGGCCTTGGATATCTAAAAGTCAAACTACTATAAAAATTTAGCATACTGTAGTTCAACCAAAAATAATCATTAACTGGTCAGCGTGAATAAAGAATGACATAGCACAGTGGAAACTGATAGAAACTTCGAGAAAAGTAAAATTTACTGAAATGAGTTCACCTGGCATATTTGTAGGTGGTTGATTAGCCTCAAGGTAGTTTTAATTACCAACTGAAATTAGCTACAGAACAACTGAGAAACACAGAACACTAAATATTCATTAGATCCTATTTTCAGAACCTCTCAACAATGAGTATCCTTAGCTTACAATGAAATTAAACCCATAATCTTTGCACAACAAATGAATACTTGTTAGTTGCTTTTGTTGAGATGGAGTTTCGGAAGTCCTCATGAAAACCCGCCAACGGTAGGAATGATGAATGATGGATGCCTGCCAAAGACACAAGATGACAATCACATTGTACTACGAATCAACATATGTTGGCAACTACAGAAAATCGAATTCCCATCTAGTATGTGAGTAGTGAACTACTCGCATCAAGACCCAAAGGTACTGGTTTATGCTGTTTGCAAACTTGCGGGTCTGTATTGCTGAAAGTATTCGAACTAGGATGAAATAGATTTGGAGAGCTCCTTGGTTTTTTCTTTCTTATCTAACTGATTTTGAGCAGCAGTAAAACAGTTATAAATGTTTAGGTAGTAGACATTACTCTAAAATTCACAGAGGTAAGCACGAAACACTCTAAGAATTGAGTTGATCATCTGCTGGCAACCAGTGTATTTACCAAATCATAAGTGCTAAGCACTTGCAGAAGTTAATCGATCATGTTTTTAACATGGCCACTAAGCAGGGTGACAAGACACTGTGATACAATGTGTTTCGGTATTTGATGCTAGAAGTCAGCCAGTAGGAAGTTCTCTACCTTCTGAGTACGAATAACTTGACAGCTATATCAGTGACTCTCTAGTGACTGATTTGTGTACATGATGTAGTCCTAAACGGGACCAGTCATAATCTGAATGGTTTTGGTAAATACTCTAGCATTTTCATGAAATAAAGCACTGATGAAACCTTCAGGACCAAATACCAGAGCTCTAGGAACACCGTACAGTTATCAACTTCATCTTTAGCAATAAATCTCTAGTCTCCAACACTGACATTCTGTGACTCAGGTTCAAAACATAAAGAGGTTTTCTGCGAACTGACTTCTGAGATCTAACCCCAAAATCAGTATACTTAGTCATTTTATTTTTGTTTCTAATACCAGTGACGTACACCGAGATCGCATTATCTAGTTCATATAGTTTTAAACCTTATAGGTTGTTTAAGCGAATAGAAAGGTTGTCTTACTCACACCGACTGTCTAGTGACTTTAAGTTTAGTCTTTTGCGGATTTTATTTGTTGTCTAGTAAGTGATTCATAGCTAACTTTGTATAATTTCTTCCATATAAGTGAAACATCTTTACAACTTAATTGATCAACAGATTTGTCATTTTTTCAATTATCAATATAGGAAAACTTATCACTCAAACACAATGACTCATCAAGCATTAAGCTCTATCACTAAATGTC